TAGAAAAAATAGAAATACATGTATATTAAATTTGTGAAACGTATATATTGTAAGAATGTTTTAAGTTAGAATATGCAAGGAATTAGATGTAACTTTGTATATAGATCATGGGGTCTATTAAAAAAAGGTCTTTAAGATCTGGTCAAAATTCGTCTTCTTAAGACAAAATTATTGAACTAATAACAATTAAGTCTTCATTTCTTCAAAAGGGTTTTAGGATTAAATGAACCAAAGATAAAGGAATCTGAATGTCTTTCTCTAACATAAACTCAGCAGTGGTATGAGGATTGGGGGTTACCAAACTACTGCAATCATTTGCAGAGGGGAGCTCCCAGATAATGGTGACATCTTGCCGTAGGATCAGGGAGGAGAACATGCTGTGTGTGGGGCAAAGGGAGGAAAAAGAGGGTGATCATTGGTATCAATTCTACATTTGTCCTCTGGACCTGATCATTAGGTATATCTTCTTGCTTTTTAGGACCTGGTTTTGAGAGATCAATTTTGTCAGACCACATCTGGGGGTTGGATTGGATAGAGAAGACTGGAAAAGGCTGTTTTTGGTTGTTCTGACACAACCGCAACAGGTGAAATGGGAAAAAGGAGCACAATACAGGCAGTTCTGATCATACTGAGAAGGACTTTGATGTAGATTTTCCAGTGGGAGTTAGAGATATGAGCCTGGAACTAAATAAGTGACCTAGTGGCTGATGAATGCTTTGGGTTGGGACGTGGGGGGAGGATCTCCTGAAGAAGCACCAAGAATGAGAAGTAAATGGGCCATAGATGGGATTTCTGCTGATCCAATAATTAAAAGACTTGCTAAGAATTGCTGAGTCAAAGGCACCTGAAAAAGAGACTTAAATAAAACATTCAGAGTATAGGATGATTATTTCTTTTTTAAAAAAATGATTTTACTTATTTATTTATTTTCAGAGAAGGAGACAGAGAGAAACCCAAGTAGACTCCATGCTAAGAGTGGAACTTGACACAGAGCTCCATCTCATGACTCTGAGATCATGACCTGAGCCCAAACCAAGAGTCTGACACTTGACCGACACTTGACACTTGAGCCACTTAGGCACCCCTAATTGTATTTATTCTTTAAATAAAGGATACCTTGAATTACAACAGCAGCACACTTTATTTTTTGTTATACTATATGCTAACATAATAAAAACCCAACATAGAGATACTTTTTCAACAAAGATCAACACTTTTACTTAAAAAATAAAACTTTATTACAGCATCACTATTATATACAACTGTCCTTTTTTTTTAAAAAAAGATTTTACTACTTTATTATTTTCTTAAGTAATCTCTGTACTCAGTGTGGGGCTTGAACTCACAATCCTGAGATCAAGAGTTGGATACTCTTCCAACTGAGCCAGCCAGGTAGGTACCCTGTATAGTTGTACTTTTCACAATAAGTTGGTTTAGTTCTTTGAAGAAAATCTTTAACAATTAAAATTGTACAGATCACAGGGCAAGAGGAACAGTCTAACAAATTCAATAAAAATATTTCAGGACAACTGTACTATAGTTTTAGACTATACTAAAACTGTCTCAGAAAATTATTTTTAAGCATTTATCATAGTATAAATACTCTAAATCTTAAAATAAATCTATGAATATTATACAAAAATATTTTAAAGTATAAATATAAACACTGAATAAAGCATTCACCATGTCCAATGGAAACTATTATTAAAAATATTTTTTTAGATGGTAAAATTTAAAGTGATAATCACAAAACAGCATTTCCTTAATCATTCATCATCTAAAATATTTTAGTAGTAATCACAGGGTTTAGAGTTTCACCATAAAATTTTCATTTTTACAAATGCAAGATGTACAATTTCCTTCATAGACTCCTTTTCTCTCTAGCTCACAGAAAAAGGCAACAAAGTAACAGAAATTTCATAGTCAAAATTTGACATGTTATATAAAGCATAAAAATTGTGAAATTTTCAAGAACTCATATCCTTAGCTGATTCCCTTTAAGAAGAAAGGGTTATAAACTGTACACAAGACAAAAATCACACTGCTGCAAGTACATCTAAATCAATCTAAAAGCAATGTTCCTACACTTTAGGAAAATGTTAAGTACTAAATCTCCTTTAAAGCCATTGTTTTTTTTTTAATTTTATTTTTATTTTATGATAGTCACAGAGAGAGAGAGAGAGGCAGAGACACAGGCAGAGGGAGAAGCAGGCTCCATGCACCGGGAGCCCGATATGGGATTCGATCCCGGGTCTCCAGGATCGCGCCCTGGGCCAAAGGCAGGCGCCAAACCGCTGCGCCACCCAGGGATCCCCTAAAGCCATTGTTTTATAAATAACTATGACAAAACAAAATATTTGCATTTAAAGAATTTTGGTATGAAATATCTTTGGAACAGTATAAGAAGCATCTTGCCAAAAGCACTATTTTGTTGTGTAAAAAAGTAAAATCTCATTATTTAATAATTTCTTCTGAATGCTACAAATGACTATTTTGGGGTTTTGAGGGTTTTTTTTCCACATGACAATTTGAGGAGAGGAAACTTTTTTTTTCATTTTCTGTTTTTTTTTAAATAATAATTTTGATAATATTTACAGTTATATTTTCACCTTGAGGTACAAATTTTGCATTAGGCTGGATATTTATTTATTTATTTATTTATTCATTCATTCATTCATTCATTCATTCATTCATTCAACGTAGGCTCCATACCTAGCATTGCACCCAATGCAGGGCTTGAACTCACAATCCTGAGATCAAGACCTGAGCTGAGATGAAGAGTTAGACACTTGACTGACTGAGCCACCCAGGTACCCCGAAGCTAAATGGTAGATTTATGACCTAGTACCATGCCAATTTTAAGTCTCTAAGCAGTTGTGTTAAAATGCCATTCACATATACATATCCTAGTTACTAACTACATTCTTACAGAGAAAATGCATGTTAAATTTATTACCTTGCAAATAATTTGGACCTTAGTTCTGGCTTCGGTTCTTCTCCATTCTATTAAGTAAAGTTTTAAACACGGCATTCTGTGGATAATTCACAGTAGATACCAGCACAGCAATTAAACAACTGTGAAAGTACTTACAATGTCTACTTTAGGATAGAGTAAATACTGACGCTGGGAAAATCTGAAATGGCTCATTTTCCCAACACATTAGTGCAAATTAGCAAACGTTTAGAAGAATTTAGTCATGGAAAGTGGGAAGCATAATCTCATCTTCATTCATTCCTTGTTCATATCGAACTGAGGAGAAGCCTGCCCAATGCAACCGGTTCCTTTGGAAGAGGAACCAAATCAGTGCACAGATGAAAGCTAAGACACTGAGCACAGCAAATGTGATAGCTATTCCTCTGTAATCAGGGCCTGGAATAAGGAAAGGTTTGACATTGGAGGAGAGAATATAAAAGCCATCATTACTGATTTATACATTAGGCTGCATGTCACATGTGTAAACTCTGTACAAATTAGACACAATAAATAGCTGATTGTTTTATAGCACATTAACACAGAATTCAAAATCATCATCAAACATTCAAGTGTTTTCAGATTTAACTCTTTTCCTTTTCATTCAAATCCTATTCATTGCTTTAGCAATTTTCTCTAAAGAATTTAGAGTATTATCTTTATTCTTACTTTCCCTTCCTTCGAGAACATTATTTCCAATATATTACCTTATTTTGATAGCAAATTGCTACAAGTTGTAAATTTTTGTGTTTGACTTACCTAGGGCCAAGTAAAGTGTTACTTGCTTTAAAGAAAATTTAAGACTATAGGATGACTTCATTTAGCACCTAGCTATTCAATTTCAAATGCTGTCTCAGACCCCTTCTTTGCATGCTGCCCAGATGGATTCATTTGTCCTCTTGCTTTAAATACTAACTCTATGCTGACCTCTCTTCTCTCTCATATGTCCAGCTGCATGCTAGACATTCCATATGAGTATCTCTTCTTCATATAGACAGCTCAAAATGCTAAAACAGAACTCTTGGTTTATGCCATCCTAACCCTGTTTCCCAGCTTCCCCCGTAATATTCCAGTTGTTTTCCATTTCACTCAGCATAGAATCTGACTTCTTGACCCTTGCTTCCAAAGTCTTAGGTGTCTGGTGCCTGCCTACCTTCCAGCTCTTCCTTGAGCACTCAATCAAGCTCATGCTGCTGTAGGCTCTTTGTTATAACCGGTAGCTCTCCCCATAGTGCCTCCCCTGATCTTTGCTTAGCTGGCCTTTCAGATCTCAGCTTCAGAGTCTCCTGTTCTTAGATGTCTTCCCTGATAACCTAAAGTAGCCATGTCCCTGAATATATTCTGAATAGATATATTGGTACAGAAACCAGTCATCTAGCATTGGGGTTTTATCTTTAATATTTATACACCAAAGGGATATTTTTATGCTAAATCTACAGAAATATTTCTATGAAACATTTAGAGCTCCTTTCTCCAGAAATGAAATTAAGGTAAGATTTTTATGATTGTTTTATGTATCAATTCATGATGAAATCTAAGTTTAAATTACAACTTCCTTTAGATGTTCCTTCCAGGAAATTTTAAGTAATTAAATTGAGTTTTGCATTGGTGCTAAGTTAATCATGAGTTTTATGAGAATGAGGAGAAAGGAAGCACACTAACTACAGAATTAGACCTTTGAGCTTTTACATATTTGACTGATAGAATCAAATACATCTTAAGAATATATTCAGAGAAATGGGCTCCCCAATACTCTGGCAGCTTCTATCTTTCTTAGGAAAGAATTATACAAACTTTAAGCTGCCTAGTAGTTTTATCTGGGAGTCTTAGACATCTTGGCATTTCTATCTCTTGCAATCTATTTTTCTGAGAAAGATTCTGTATGGCTTCATCAAGTTTTTTGGACACACTTAAAGGAATAAATAAGGACTTTAGGACAAAGTACAAAACTTTGCACATAATCGAGTTGCACATTTATTTCCTGACCGGTTCTGCAAAAATATTTCTTAAGGACAAGTTCCATACTTACCCAGAGGAACTCTGCAGACAACTCTTCCATAGCCATGGGAACATTCAACTTTTATCCAAGTTTCATTTGAAGCTAGCAAAATGCTACATTTTCCACCATCACTCTTACTTTTATTTGCCCATTTGACAAATGTCACTTTTGATCCATCCAGCCAATTCCAAGACTGATCTAAAGAAAGAAATTAAGTTTATTGCCTATAAATTTCTAAGGTAAAATGGCATGTGGCTCATACAACTTAGAACTTAGAACTGTGCTATGTCATTATTTAAAATGAAGCCTATTCACTTGATGGATTGAGCACTGGGTCTTATATGTTGGCAACTTGAATTTAAATAAAATATTAAACATTTTAAAAAATAAAATGAAGCTTATTAAAAGTGAAAAAATTAAAAAAAAAATCAGTCCTTCAGTTGCACTTGTCACATTTCTTTTTAAAGATTTTATTTATTTATTTATCCATGAAAGACACAGAGAGAGAGAGAGCGCGCGCGCAAGAGGCAGAGACAGAGGCAGAGGGAAAAGCAGGTTCCATGCAGGGAGCCTGACGTGGGACTCAATCCCGGGATCGGGGCCTGGGCTGAAGGTGGCGCTAAACCGGTGAGCCACCTGGGCTGCCCCACACTTGTCACATTTCAAGTGCTCAACAGCCATATGTGGCTAGTGACTACTCTGTTACACAGCACAGAAATAGAACATTTCCATCTTTGCAGAAAGTTCCATTAGACACCACTGATATAAAATGTGGTATTTTGATTAAAGTGCAGAATGCTTGCACAGGGGTGTGCATATTGTGTGAGGGATAGATTTCTAAAGACCTGAATCCCCATCAGCACCCCTACCTGGAATTTAAAAACTCCTATCGTTAAAGACGTGCTGGGGGAGGAAGGGTGGAGAGGGTCCAGGAGGGTCTCCCCGCCATGACTCCATTTTTATTTTCCAGCTGAGGTAGCACTGCCTTGTGGTAATAGTGTAAACACAACTTAGAATTCATTTAGACAACCAACTTTAAATCTATTCACTTTTTGACAAGTACTTAATATTTTGGAATTCACATTTATCTCGATTATTTAGAATTCAACTTACTATACAATGTAAAACACATTTCCTATATTCTATTGAATGTGTACTCTTAATTTAATCTTTATCAATTTCAAGTTCACTCAAATCTTTTATCCATTATTGCTTGGATTAAACCATTGTTCCTTGAAAATTTCTTCCACACATCTTTTTTAACCAATTCTCTGCAATTTTACTAAGCTTGTTTGAAAAACAAAATCACCATTAAGAATTAATTTTTCTCTATGGTAAAAATGTTACAAGAGGGAAGAGAACAAAAGAAGAGAACCTTTTGAAAAATAGTTATAAGCTACAAAAACACAGGTGATAGACATTACAACTCTAAGGAAACTAAGTCATGGGTAGGAGAAAAAAATATGTCGTTGATCTTAAGCTTAAACTTAAGCATCTTAAGCTTCTAGAACATCCTAGTTGATTTAACCTGATTTCATTAGTGTTAACCTGAGTTCATTAGTGTTTTCCATCATTACTAATAAGTCCCTCACATATTCATTAGAAATTTATAAGTCTCTAAAACAGCCAGCAGACATAACTTATTTATCAATAAGAACCACCACTTGACATTCTTTAGAAAGGCTGAGTTGGTATTTAGGACAAGCTGGAACTCTCTTTGTACACTGTGTGTGCCACTTACCGGCAGAATGTTGAGATAATCCAAGCCAAACTCTCATGGTAATATTATTATCTTCCCTCATCAGTCTGCTCACAAATTTATTCTCATCTTCATCCTCTATGGTAACAATGGTTGCAGAATGATCTGTTGTAGGAAAACAAACCCTAAACTAATTAGTTTATGCAAACTAGGGGAGTGGCTTATTCTCAACTAGCCATTTGAAAAAAATCTATCATGATCAAGATCATGGAGAAATTCAAGCTTTACATAGAGAATATTTTGAAAATATGGTATCTGTGCCAGATTTTTTTAAGTATAGCATTAATAGATTCCAAAATTTTAGAAATATTTCTAGATTAAAACTTTACATAGAAAAATTTTATGTTTCTTCAAAATGTTTACCAGATAAACATTTTGATCTTGGAACTGCCTGCCAGTGAGACAACTGTGTATGAACAGCTAGCCATAAGAAGTGGGGTACGTGATTATAGAAAGATGTATTTTAGGGCAGCCCGGGTGGCTCAGCGGCTTAGTGCTGCCTTCATCCCAGGGCATGATCCTGGAAACCTGGGATCGAGTCCCACATCGGGCTCCCTCCATGGAGCCTGCTTCTCCCTCTGCCTGTGTCTCTGCCTCTCTCTCTCTCTCTCTCTGTGTGTGTGTCTCTCATAAATAAATAAATAAAATATTAAAAAAAAGATGTATTTCAGCATGCTCTCAACAACCATTTCTGTATAATAACTCAGCTTTTAATTTGCTTTTATTAAAAAGAAAATGAAAACAAAAGCTTTGAGATATTGGGGAGCCTTAGCCTCTCCTTTAATATTATTTTATACATAGGCATACTTGGTTATGCCCATTATAAGTTCCTAAACATAGTATGGAATTGAATACTCTTGAAGTTTGATAAATTGCCCTAAACTCACATAGAAAATAGTATTATCGCCATCATCAGGCAAGGGATAGAAATAAAATAATAACTAGACTTGAAAATCAATCCTAAGTGGAATCAAATAGTTTTCAACAGTGACAAGCCTATCCACACTTGATCTAAAGCATTTCTTTTGTGGTTGTAGCATTGGAAGGGCTAAGGCAAGCCTTTATTCCTTCATAGAAGACTACAGTGTGCACGTGCTTGTTAAATATTACATAATCCTGTAGGGGAAGATATTATCGCTATTTTACAAATGAGAAAACTGAGGCTCAAGGAGATTAAATAAATTGGTCAGGTTTACACAGCTAGCCAGTTATAAAATTAGAAAGCCAATCTCAATCTTTTCTAATAACAAGAATAATTTGAATGCTCACTATTTGCAGGGCACTGTGCTACATTTGCATACATTATCTCATTTCATTCATTCCTACAACAATCCAACCTTTGAAATTAGTACTATTTTCATTCTCACTGTTCAGATGAGAAAAGAGAAGCAAAATGTAACCTCTATAGCACTCAGGAAGTAAGTGCGAGAGTTGGGATTTAAAACTTAGACCTGGGATCCCTGGGTGGCGCAGCGGTTTGGCGCCTGCCTTTGGCCCAGGGCGCGATCCTGGAGACCCGGGATCGAATCCCACATCGGGCTTCCGGTGCATGGAGCCTGCTTCTCCCTCTGCCTGTGTCTCTGCCTCTCTCTCTCTCTGTGACTATCATAAATAAATAAAAAATTAAAAAATAAAAATAAAACTTAGACCTGTCTGCCTCCCAGGCTCATCTGCTTAACCCCTACACTACAATGACAGTAAACCTTTCTATTTTCTCCTGTAGGAGCAAGATGCTTCTGACTTTCAGAACATGTATAGCTCACAATAGTTCCCATTGTGTGTGTGTGTGTGTGTGTGTGTGTGTATGTATAACATATGAGAGCTCCCACACCAAAGTTTCCATCCTATAGTTAAGCAGTAACAAGGAGATTGCTAAATCAGCCAAATGTCTCCCATAACAGTTTAGCAAGGTAAATGAGATAAATGCCATTTAGTTTTGCTAAGTGGCTACTCAAGCATGCAGGTCTTTGAAATACTCTCAGTAGTCTCCCTAGAAGTCATCTCACAGTTTGACTACACAGTAAATTTCTCATGGGAGAGATCCAATCATTGCTGCCCTTTCTAAAATAGTTAAATCTGAAGATAAAGAAGTCCTGTTCCTTATACTGTTCAGAGGATGTGGGCCATTTCAGTAGCAGAATGGATGAATAACCCACGCTTCATCATAAGTAAGCTTACTTATTCATAACTACGTAGTGGAAAAACCTATAATTTTGTATTTAATGTTTAACTTTTACAAAAAAAAATTTGCCCTAATCCCTTCATCTAAACACATCTTGCTATATTTAGACCATTTTATTTGTCATTTTCACATAATGGTTCACTTAGCAATTTTTTATTCTACTTCTTCCCAGTTACTTTTATTTTCCATATACTTATTCTTACATTGGTCATTTATGATGGCTATTCCAAAATTCCACTTAACTCTTATATCATAAAATACCATTTCCCTACCACTGGGAAAATAGGTTATAAAATGCTATTATAAATATGGAGTGTTTTAGAAATTTTTTTAAAAAAGATTTTATTTATTTATTCATGAGAGACACAGAGAGAGAGAGGCAGAGACACAGGCAGAGGGAGAAGCAGGCTTCATGCAGGGAGCCCGATGTGGGACTCAATCCTGGGACTCCAGGATCACACCCTGGGCCAAAGGCAGGTGCTCAACCGCTGAGCCACCCAGGCGTCCCTGTTTTAGAAGTTTTTAAAGAAGATTTATTTATTTGAGAGAGAGAGAATGCATGCATTGGTGGGTGGGGCAGAGGAAGAGGAAGAGAGAGATTCTCAAGCAGACTGCCACTGAGCACAGAGCCCGATGTGGGGATCAATCCCACAACCCTGAGATCATAACCTGAGCTGAAATCAAGAGTCAGACATTTAATTGACTGAGTCACCCAGATGTTCCCAAAATATTTTCAAAAATATAATCATTATTTCAAATAATTTCCTTGGGAAAAAATCCAATGATTAAATTATTGAGTGCAAGAAAATCAATAAATTTTAACTCACCAAGTTTTGAACAGAACTGTTTGGCTTCTGAGAAACTGTGCAATGCTTGGTCAAATGCATAACAGTGCCCCCTGTACTGGATCCACTGGGACTCATTCCCTTTTACTGCTGGACATCTTGGTGAGTATGTACGAGAGGATACTTCTTTAGCTATAAAAATGTTAGACATGATTGTAAAAATGCACAGAAAAAACAACTGACTTTTAAAATCTCACTAAGCCCTATCTGAAACTATGGTTCCTGTGGATAAGAAGCATTAGACTCAATACACACGCCACAGAAAGCTACAGCTCATACTCTAAAAGTGTACATTCTAATTGGCTTTTTGGAATAACATTTTGAAAACTTAGAAAACAGAAGAAAGCATTTAGCCCTCTAAGATGGAATTAGCCTAATTTAAAAACAATTGGAGAGACAAAATAAAAAAGAAGCAAAGACAGGCTGTACTTTGAAATAATTAAAAATTTTTCCTTCTTTGGATTCCTTTTATCTTGATGATACAAACTTAGTTTTACCTTGCCATATAAAAAACTACTTTCAAAATCATATCCACAAGTGAAAATTTGGTAATTTGTTTACAAAGTGCAGTATATTTGCATAGCAAAATCTGTCTCCTACAAAGAGAGGAGCTAGGGCTTCCGTACCCATTAAATAATAATTCCCCATTCCTGCCAGCCCCCAGAAACCACCATTCTACTTTCTGTTTCTATGAATTTAACAGCTCTAGGTACCTCACATAATTGAAATCATATGGTATTTGTCCTTTTGTGTCTGGGTTATTTTACCTAGAATAATGTTCTCAAGATTCAACCATGCAGGTTGTATTCTGTATTATGCGTCAGAATTTCCTTCTTTTTTAATGTTGAATAATATTCCATAGTATGTATATGCCACTTTTTGCTTATGCATTTATCTGTTAGTGGACGGCTTGGGGTGCTTTCACCTTTTGGCCATTGTGAATTAAGATGCTGTGAATACGGTTGTACAAATATCTGCTTTCATCCCTTTTGAATATATACCCAGAAGTGGAAGCACTAGATCCTATGGTAATTTTATGTTAAAAGTTTTGAGAAACCACCATACCATTTTCCACAGTGATTACACACCACTTTTTATTCCCACAAGCAATGTACAAGGGCTCCAATTTCTCCACATCCTTACCAACAGTTGTTTTCTTTCTTGAAGAGTCTATTTTTTTTAAGTTTTTGTTTGTTTGAGAGAGAGGGAGAGATGGGTTGAGGGAAGGGATAGGAAGAGAGGAAGACAGATTCTTAAGCAGGCTCCATGCCCTATGTGGAGCCCAACATGGGGTTTGATCTCACAGTCCTGAGATCATGACCTAAGCCGAAGTCGAGTTGGACACTAAACTGACTGAGCCATCCAGGTGCCCCTTGAAGATTCAATTTTCAAAGTTTGCTCTTGTATTAGTTTCCCAGAGCTGCCATAATAAATTATCACAAAACTGGTGGTTTAAAACAACAGAAATTAATACTCTCACAGTTCCGGAGGCAAATCTAAAAATGAGGTGTCAGCAGGACTGCTTCTTTCTGGAGGCTCTGAGGGAGAATCTCTTTCAGGCCTCCTCACTTCCGGTGGTTGATGGCAATTCTTGGCTTGAAGCTGCATCACTGCAACTTCTGCTTCTGTCATCAAAGGGCCTTCTCCCTCTGTGTCTGTTTCTCTCCTTTTATAAGGACACCAGTCATGGGATTTAGGGCCCATTCTAATCAAGCATTACCTCATCTAACTAATTACATCTGCAAAGGCTATTTCTAAATAAGATTGCATTCTAAGGTTCTGGGTGGAGGTGAATTTGGGGGGATACTATTCAAGCCAGTATAGCACTGAATCTGTGTTTGTTCATGTTGTCATTCTACTTGATCCTATAAAGTCTGTTTAGCCAACACAGATGTGTTTTCCACTTTTGTATACTTTACCACATTTCTCATGTATTCCAATTGTTTTTTTAAAACATTAACTTTCTGTACCTAACAACTGAGATGTCAGTTCTTGATTATCCATTCATTCCTCATTCTTGATCTCATTCTCCTTTTCTTGTATTCACTTGTTTCTCTAGATAAGGTTTTCACATTTCCTTCTGCTTGAATCTGTTTAATTACAAATGTTGAATCTTCTCTGAGGGATTCTTTGGAGGAGAAAGCATGGTAAGTGCTGAGAACCAGAGGCCTCAGAGATGCCACCCCCACCATCTCTTGGCTTGTCCAGCAGGCTCCTGCAGCTCCTGGGTGATCTTGGTTCTTGTGCTCTTCTTCAAGGCTCTGCTTGTCACGATGACCCCAAGTCCAGCCCCTGATGGAAGGGGCTTTTTCCTTAGATTTTAAGAATCATGTAAGTTTGGAAAGTGCTTAGTTACACAAAGTTAAGCAGATTTATTTACTATAGAAACTCCCAGAGCCATCAATATGGTAAATCAAACCTGAGGTATTTCCCAAATTAATATACTGCTGAACTCTTTTTTATTTTTTTTGAACTCTTTTTTAAAAGAAACATTTCAGCCTTTGTAAAACATTGCTAAGTTAAATTAAAATTTACAAATTCTAGAGTAATAGATACTTAGTAATAGAGGAACTAAAAGTCTTTGGGAACATATCTTGAAAGGATATATTATATTTGTTTCTCTTCACAAAGTATAAACATTATTTTTATAGGATTTGTGAATAGACCTTACTTAAAAATCTACAAAAATCCCTTTATTTGATCATGTACACAAAACAAAATGTCATATTTCAATCAATATAGTTCTTCAAAATCAAGACTTACATTTTATAGGTTTATAACAAATAGCACCATCCCTAACAGACTTGCAGTTTTCATGTCTCCAAATTCCTTTTGGGTCCAGGACAACACAATTTCCAGCAGACTGTTTATCTTTCCATGGGATGTAGTCAAATGTACTGCCATCAGACCATTCAAAACTTGATTCACTTCCCTGTTTTAAGAATAATAGATATAAAAAGGTTTAGAACATTTTTTAGCATAAGAATTTTTTAAAGAATAATAGAGATAACCTGAATCCAGAAAGAAAGAATGTTCAAAAAGAATATTAAGAAGAATATATATACTTTATGAAGTACTGGAATGGATTGTTAATTATGTGCTTACAATTGTTATAGGTCTGGACCTATTTGCAAAATCAGGGATTTACTTTTGACACTTTGATTTGAGACATTTACTCTTGTGCAGTTTAAGTAGGACTTTAAATTTACAGAGTTACTATACTCTGTCTCTAGATTTATTTTTTTTAAGGATGAGTTTTTATAACACTTGAAGTTAAATGACATGCAAATGGCTTCTATTTGTCACAATTACAGATTTATCATCCCAACCTTCATATTATTCTGAATATTGTTTTATAGTTCTGTGGTTTGTGTCTCTGGCTACATTTTTTCATATTATAAAGGCCATCAAACAGCAGGGAGCTAAAAGAAGAAAATATTTCTCAAGAAACTCATATGGGAAGACTACTTTTGATTTTTCCTTGATTCTATAATCCTAATTTGCCACCCTTTAAAAAATCCTTTTCACTTTGTTCTAAAGATTATTTAAATTATGCCTTCAATTCTACTCTCAATAGATGCCTATTTTTGGCATATTGGATATTATTATAGGTAACTGAATATATTAACAGGATTCAAATAGTGGCACAAAAGACGTGTTTACTACCAAAACATTATTCCCAAATACTGCAATTTGTAAGAAGAAAGTGAGAAGAAAATACATTTATTAGTCCTAACATTAAGAATTTTATTTGGTATCTTATATACATTTTTGTGTTAATCTTCACTATACTCCTATGTTAAGGAAAATATTATCACACCAGTTTTACAGATGAAGAAACAAGCTTACAATGGTTAAATAACCTGCTCATGATCACTGAACATGTAAATGGAAGACCCACCACTAATACTGGAACTCAGGTTTTTCTGATTCTGTGCTATTCCTTTTTTACCACTTTCAGTTGGTCTGCTCCAACTGAGAGGTATTGTTGAGATATTTATCTGCTGGACCCTTGGGATGGCAGTGTCTAGGGCAGTTATGGTTCTGGCTATTTGCCCTACAGCATTCTACAATACAGTTTTCTATTTGCTTTGTGTTGTAAAGAGATAAAAATGTGCTATGCTATGCAAATTGAGTCCCAAGACTTCAGCTGATGTTATACTTTGAACTAATTAATATCTTATGCTCAGGGACGCCTGGGTGGCTCAGTGGTTGAGCGACTTGCCTTCTGCCCAGGGCATGATCCTGGAGTCTTGGGATTGAGTCCCACATTGGGCCCTCTGCATGGAGCCTGCTTGTCTCTCTGCCTATGTCTCTGCCTCTCCCTCTCTCTCTGGGTCTCTCATGAATAAATAAATAAAATCTTTTTAAAAAAATCTTATGCTCAAATTTCCAACCTTCTAACACATTTGCAAAATTTCTGGGAAATAAGACAAGACTTACATCGTGACTTGAGAGCCCAACCCATAGTGGAAATCCATCACGTTTTACGATGTCTTCCAGAAAGAGCTGGCCATTTTGGTCATGAACACTTGCCAAATAACCTCCACTTTGAGAACATATGTTTAATGCTTCATACCATGTTACCTTTTTTTGAATAACGTTATAAATACCATCTTCATATGGAATAAACTGTGGCAGAGTAGCATTATATTCTTCCTTGTAGTCAACTATAATATTTAAATTAAAAGCATTAGTGATTATGTTTAAATTACTTAAAATACATATTTTGGGTAAGACTGGACATGTGATCATTTCTAAAGTTAAATAAACCTGGATTTCTTATTAACAAAGGAGGTAAAATACATACATCATTTTTCCTATTGCCACAACACATGTGATAGGTTCTTAAATATTATAATTTTCTGGTTGATTAAAAAAAGGTATAAACATTGTCTTTCATTTAAGGAGCTCACATAGGAATTGGAGATAGAAAAGGATACCTAAAATGCAGATCAAACAATTAACTGCTATAATATATGTGGTTGAGTAGAGAAGGAGAGATTGATTCATCTGAATTAAGAGAGTCAGAAAGCCTGCTTAAAAAAAAGAAGAAGAAGAAGAAGAAGAAGAAGAAGAAGAAGAAGAAGAAGAAGAAGAAAAAGAAGAAGAAGAAGAAAGAAAAGAAAGCCTGCTTAACAAATTACGTTTCCAAAATTTAGGTTAGATGAAATTTGGACTAGAAAGAAATAGATAACCAGAAAGTAAGCTAAAAACAAATGGAGAATAATAAAACAGTAACAAAACCACAATGATGAGGGTACTTCAAAGAGAGGCACAGGAACTAAGAGCTCCCAATGGCCAGAATTAGAACAATTTGAATAAAATATTAGATAATGTAGCATACTGGATTATAACCCAAAGTATAAAGTATATAACCATGAGTCCATACTGATATAAACAACTGACTGAATAAGTTAAAAAATGGGAGGGAATAGACAAATCTCTTGTACAGTAGAATTCCAAATAATTTACATAGATATGCCCTTCCCAGAAAGGTGAATAACCCTTCAGTCTGTATGTGTGGGCTGATCATTATTAGTGACTTCCTTACAAAGAGTATGGTATTGGAAATGGGGAAAAGAGTACCTCTGCAGTGGAGAAAGCTAATATCATCTAGAGGCAAGTGATCAAGGTTAAAATAAAAAAAAAACATCAGTCAACCCGAAGTGAGGCACATTCCATAAAATACATGGTCAGTCCTCTTCAAAACTGTCAGGGTCATTGATAGCAAAAAAAGTCTAAGAAACTTTCATAGCCAAGAGAAACAAACCTAAGGAGACATGATGACTATACGTAACTTGTATCCTGAATAGAATCCTGAATAGAAAGGGCATAGTAAATAAAAAATTTTAAAACTGTGAATAATGTATGGACTTTTGATGAATAGTAACCTATCATACTGGTTGTGACAAATGTACCATAATTACGTAAGATGTCAACAATAGTGGAAATCGGTTATGGTGTATATGGGAACTTTCTGTATTGTCTCTGTAACTTTTCTATAAATATAAAATCATTCCGGGGCACCTGGGTGGCTCAGTGGTTGAGTGTCTGCCTTTGGCTCAGGTCGTGATCCTGGGGTCCCAGGGTCCCCACGGGGAGCCTGCTCCTCATTCTGCCTATGTCTCTGCCTCTCTCTCTGTGTCTTTCATGAATAAGTAAATAAAATCTTTTATATATATATTTATATTTACATATATAAATTTCTATATTTATATATAGATTTATATATATAAAATCATTCTAAAATAAAAAGTTTGTTAAAGAAGTTAAAAGAAAAAAGGTGGAAGACTTCTTGTCGGGCAGCCTGGGTGGCTCAGGGCATGATCCTGGAGTCCCGGGATCGAGTCCCACGTCAGGCTCCCTGCATGGAGCCTGCTTCTCCCTCTGCCTGTGACTCTGCCCCCCGCCCTCTCTCTGTGTGTGTGTGTGTGTGTGTGTGTCTCATGAATAAATAAATAAAATCTTGAAAAAAAAGACTTCTAGTCCATAAAAAACATAAATAAAGGTGCGAATGAGGATAAGCACACACTGTACATGGGACAATTAAGAGATCAGCCTGACACAGTAAGAGGCTTACTGAGCCAAGAATGGAGGAAGAAATGGAGCTGGAAGAAAGCCTTTAATTTTAGAATAGACTGTTTCTAAAATGCCTTAGAAGCTTACATGAATTCAAGGTAATTGGTAATAGGGAAACCCTGGAGATTGTTGATCAAAATGATGCTCCAGAAAGTTAATCTGTCATACTATGAAGGGAGAAGATCAGCCTGGATGTTAGCAGAGGGCTTAAAGCAGAGAGGCCATAATAATAGTTTCTAGGGATGCCTGGGTGGCTCAGTGTTGAGCGTCTGCCTTTGGCTCAGGCCCAGGGTCCTGGGATCAAGTTCTGCATCAGGCTCCTCACAGGAGCCTGCTTCTCGATGGAGAAGCTACCTATGTCTCTGCCTCTCTCTCTCTCTCTCTCTCTCTCTCTCTCTCTCTGTGTCTCTCATGAATAAATTAAATCTTAAAAAAAAAAAACAGTTTCTAAGCTGTGGAAAATTTACAACTGATACGCACTTAAAAATAGATTTACTTGAGTAATTAGGCAAATTTAAGAAACATTTATTTTTAGGTGAGAATGTCAAAACTTTACCCAAACACACTTTATTATTTATAAAAATCTTATCCAGTCTTCAAGACCCAACCAAGTCTTACCTTGTCCTCAAAGTATGGTTTTCATTACTCCTGTTTTCATTGATCTCTTTTGAGATTTATTTATTTGTTTGACTTTCCAACAAACTTAAGCCAGTACCAAATAACCTAAAACTAATTTACATAAAATAATGCTAAGGAGTTTAATGCTGTCTTCCCAGATACGTTTAACTCCCTGAGTTCAAGAACCTGACACCACAGACTGTGTCTTTTCCTTCCTCTGTAACTCTTGTATCTCTCATAGAACTGAAGATAGACGAGACTTTCAAAAAACACAGTTGCACGATTCCCACTCATGGAGCTAATGGCCTTATGTTCTCTTTCTCTGGAGCGGAAATTCAACATTAGCATACTTACCCATTTCAATTTTACAAGCAAGAATGCTGTTCTGGTTATAGTGAAATATTTCTTCAATAACATTGAAGGCTTGAATATCCCAGAAACCATCAGTACTCAAGCCAGCAAAAAACTTGTCATTTTTTATATCTGGTCTTCCTCTTCTCCAATTTGTGTATGACAGCATGGTCTTATCAGACCACAGAAGAGAATTATCTAGGGAAGAAACATTTTTTTCTATGCTTAGAGATTGAATGAAGACTTGAATAATAGTTAATATTACAAACTCAACTGATTTTTTCTCCTTTACTTACTTTCTAAAAAGTTGTATGATTAAGTATAGTCCTTTAAAATATTTTCTGACTATAGTAGTAAATCATGCTTATTTTTAACTTGGAAAGCATAAATTATAAACATAAAAGTTAAAATTTATAGCTTGTAAATTTTATACTTTATAAAGTGATTTCACCATCCTGCCATAGCTTTATGTTTTATCATTTTTTAATCAAATTTTCATTTCTCCTCTATATATGTTAAATTGCAATGAAAATGAATATAATTCTTTTATTTAAAAATTAACATATTACAAAACTATTGATAGAAATATCTTCTCTGGACCTAAACCATACACAATTGTGCACATTTATGTCAACTGATTTTTGACAAGGGTGCCAAGACAATTCAATGCAAAAGAATAGTTCCTGGGACAACAGGATATCTACATGCAAAAAATATACATATATTTTATATTAATAAATAAATATAAACATATATATAGACCCTTTCCTTTTACCATATACAAAATTAACTCAAAATAAATCATAGTCCTAAACATAAGAGCTGAAACTATAAAACTCTTAGAATGAATCATATGAGTATTTCTTCATGACCATGCCTTCTAGATATGCATAAGTGATAAAAAATAGGTAAGTTGTACTTCATTAAAATTAAAAAGTTTTGTGCAGGGCACTTGGGAGGCTCAGTCAGTTAAGTGTCTGCCCTCAGCTCAGGTCATGATCTCAGGGTCCTAAGATGGAGCCCTGAGTCAGGCTCCCTGCTTGGTGGAGAGTCGCTTGTCCCCCTCCATCTGCCTCTCTCCCAACCCTTCCCGCTTTTGCTGTCACAAATAAATAAATAAAATCTTTTTTTAAAAAAAATTTCTGCTATAAATTCTACTGTCAAGAAAGTGATGGTGGGGGATGCCTGGCTGGCCCAGTCAGTAGAGCTTGATATTCTTGATCTTGAGGACATGAGTTTGAGCTCTATGTTGGGTATGGAGCTTACTTAAAAAAATAAAGAAAATGATGGGAGAAAATATTTATAAATTGTTTATTTAACAAGGAACTTATATCCAGAATATAGAAGAAATGTTTATATAACTCAATAAAAAAGACAAATAATTAAAAAATGGGTTAAGAATCTGAATAAACTTTTTTCCAAAGATGATATACAGATAGCCACTAAGTACATGAAATTATGTTTAATATCATTAATCATCAGGGAAATGAAATAAAAATGACATAATTTTTATCAATTAGATACCACTTCATACCTATTGGGATGGCTACAATCAAAAAGAGATAAAAAATGTTGGCATAGATACAGGAAAATTGGAAGGTATAGAAAATGGTATAGCGGCTTAGGAAAACAGTCTGCTAGTTCTTCAAAGGGTTAAAAAAAGACCCAGCAATTCCTCTCCTAGATATATACCCCAGATAAATGAAAATATACATCCACATAGAAACTTGTACGTGAATATTCATAGAGGCTTTATTCATAACCAAAAAAGTAAAAAGAATCTTGCTACAGTGCTACATGCATAAGCCATTAAGCTAAGTAGAACAAGCTAGTCACACAGAAAAATCACATACTGTATGAACTCATTTATATGAAATGTCTAGAACAGGTAATCTGGAGAGACAGAAAGCAGGTAAGTAGTTTTCTGGGAGCTGGGAGAGGGGATAAGGAATGAGGAGGGACTGCTAATGGATACAGTATTTCTTTTTGGGGTAGTGATAGCTGCACAACCCTGTGACTATATTAAAAGCCATTAAATTGTATACCTTAAATGGCTGAATTGTATGGTATGGTAATATATCTTATTAAAGTTTCTGGAGAAAAAAGTTGCTAGGCCTATTAAAATTACAAATTGGCCTAAAGAGTGGTGTCATTATAAAGTACACATACCCATTGTTGTCCTGGTTATTTGTACCTTTCACTGGTGACTGTCTTCTGAGGCAGTACACTTAAACATCTGCCTGCAGCTAGAAACACTATACATGTGATCTGGTTCTTGCTCGCTGCTCTCTATCACCCCATGTCTCAGGCCCTCTTTGGAAACCTCTCCCCAAGTGTTAAACTGACAATTTTATGGTCAATATGATGGGCAATGGTATATTCCTAAAGTTGCTATACAAAAGGGTCACTTTTTCACTTGGCTTGACAAGTGGCTTCCCTCAGTAATTTCTATTCATGGCCCTACTTCTGAAAAGTCAGAACTTTAAAAACAAAATCCTTTTTATCAGTGGTATTGTAATGAAATATTATTTAAGTATACTGAAATAATTAAATTAACCTATGGATGTGAATTTAGCCACTAAGAATTATATTTAAACCAAATTTGCTGGGTAGCCCAAGTGGCTCAGCGGTTTAGCACTGCCTTCAGCCCAGGGTGTGATCCTGGAGACCCGGGATCGAGTCCCCTGTCAGGCTCCCTGCATGGAGCCTGCTTCTTCCTCTGCCTGTGTCTGTGCCTCTCTCTCTGTGTGTGTCTCTCATGAATAAATAAATAAAAATAAATAAACCAAATTTGCTGTTTGCTTGAAATATCTTTCTATATGTCACTCATAGGTCTATATATTTTAGTAGAAATTTTGTCACTCATACAATTTATAAAAATAAGTTAAGATTAGGGATCCCTGGGTGGCGCAGCGGTTTGGCGCCTGCCTTTGGCCCAGGGCGCGATCCTGGAGACCCGGGATCGAATCCCACGTCAGGCTCCCGGTGCATGGAGCCTGCTTCTCCCTCTGCCTGTGTCTCTGCCTCTCTCTCTTTCTCTCTCTGTGACTATCATAAATAAATAAAAATTAAAAAAAAAATTAAAAAAAAAAATAAGTTAAGATTAGATTAAAAGGAAGTCTACGGATATGAAAATGTTTTTTAGAATACAGAATACATTTTTAGTTGTTTCTGATAATATAACTAAAAAAGTATATCAGAAGGTAAAATTAAAATCTCTATGTCCTGGGTGTGGTCTCCCCCAATCCCTATGGAACACTGTTTCCTTGATCATTTCCAGGTAAAGCCTAGCCACCTAGTTTCTCTCCACTTTTTCCCCTTCCTAATTTTAAGGGTATTCAAGTGTCATTGGAGAAAGGATTTGGATACTTAAGTCCTACTATGATGAACTCATCTTCAACTGGCAACTTAAGTCCTACCTGTTGCTTGATAGCTTATTTTTTATTAACTCATCTGCACATCATAAGTATTTAAGAAAAACCTTACCAACTCTAAGAATGGTTAAATTGCAAGGAGAAGGCTATTTTTAAACATGGCATGCTCATATTTGATTAATTTACCTATTTAATATGGCATGCTCATATTTGAGTAAGTTAGCTTCTGCCTTTGGCTGTCATTGTTCTATGCCCCTTAGTAAGGCCTACCCCCCTTGAGGCTAAATGTATGCTTTTGATATGTGATGTTTCAGAGTGACTTTTTTCTTAATTTCGACTTCTGTGATTTTCAGGACATCTCCAAGTGAGTATTTTTCTAATAGGTCTTATTTCTGCTATTACTAGGGTCTGTGTCTTAAAAAATTTCATAGCGTGGCACCTGGGGAGCTCAGCTGGTTGAGTGAGCCGACTCTTGATTTTGGCTCAGGGTCATGGGCTCTACCCCATGCTCAGCAAGGAGCCTGCTGGAGCTTCTCTCCCTCTCCTTCTGCCCCTCCCCTGTCACCTCATGAGCATGCACACACCCTCTCTCTCTCTTCTCTCTAAAATAAATGAATGAATCTTTAAAATATTTTATAGCAATTATACCTTGGACTTGTGGTATTTAGTCCCAATTTCAAATATTCTATCTCACTGCCAGACTGTTCCTCACTTTTCTAACATACAGTCCAAGCCAAAGTTGTAAACCCAAAGGTGCAACGATAATAGAAGTATAATTCCATTCCCACTCATCCCATATACATAGTAGAGATATAAAGTAATTATTGAAGATTTCTATGGCAGCATGGTCATTTTTAGTTAGTCTTGAATTGCTAGGAGAAATAGTGGAGAAAAGAAATTATTTTCCACCATTTAACTCTAATCTTAGTGGTAAAGGCATTTTAATGGCAGATTTGGGATACAAAAACTGTCTAGTATTTATATAAGTTCTGCTAGGTGTAGAATTATCATTTTGTATATTGATAAACATATACTTTGGGGCTCTTGGGTCACTCAGTGGCTGAGCGCCTGCCTTTGGCTCAGGTCTTGATCCTGGTGTCCTGGGATCGAGTCCTGCATTAGTTAGGCTCCACAGGGGGAGCCTGCTTCTCCCTCTGCCTATGTCTCTGCCTCTCTCTCTGTGTCTCTCATGAATAAATGAATAAAATCTTTAAAACAAACAAATATGTACTTTGAAGAACTATACTTTTGTAGCTTAATAAACAAGTAGTTCATAATGAGGTATATGAATTTAAATGGAGAAAATCAGCAGATTTACAACTTACTTTCATAAGTTATACCTAATGTGATCCATGAAGCCATATTATTCAAGTGCAGAAGTTGCTCAAGAACAAAGTCATTCTCTTTTTCATCTCGAATGCTCAGAACATGTGATTTTGGATCTGTTACATAAAAAATAGTCAATCATTTTAATAATTACTTATCTAGAACACTTTATTTTGGTAGATTTAAAACATTTATTTCCCAGTTTAATAAACTCTAAAACAATAATGAAAAATAAGACAGACATATAAATATAACTATTTCATTGTACTGTGCCACATGGGTGGTTCAATCAGTTGAGCATCCGACTCTTGGTTTCGGCTCAGGTCATGATATTAGGGTCATGAGATCCAGCCCCACATAGGATGCTGAGTTCAGTGGGGAGTCTGCTTGAGATTCTCTCCCTCTTCCTCTTCCTCTGCCCCTCTCCCCACTCCTGTTCTCTCTCAAATGAATAAATAAATCCTTTTAAGAAAATAATCTGTACCAAAATAAATAGATTAAGTTTTCAAATATTTTGTTTTGCTTTATTTTTTTTAGTGAAGAAATAAAAAGAAAATTATTTTATTTAAATTCAATTTGCCAACATACTGTATAACACCCTGTACTCATCCCATCAAGTACTCTCCTTACTGCCTGTCACCCAGTCACCCCATCTCCCCAACCCTTCTGCAACTCTTTGTTTGTTTCCCCGAATTAGAAGTCTCTCATGGTTTGTCTTCCTGAAGAGAGAGGATCTTAAGCAGGCTCCATGCCCAGCTCTTCACAGGGATTGATCTCATGATCCTAAGACCATGACCTGAGCCGAAATCAAAAGTGAGATGTTTAACCAACTGAGCCATCCAGGTACTCCAAATATTTTCATATTACATTTAATCTTATAGAATATGGGCAGCCCAGGTGGCTCAGCAGTTTAGCACCGCCTTCAGCCCAGGGGCTGATCCTGGAGACCCGGGATCGAGTCCCATGTCGGGCTCCCTGCATGGGGCCTGCTACTCCCTCTGCCTGTGTCTCTCTGCCTCTTTCTTTCTCTCTCTCTTAATCTGTGTCTCTCATGAATAAATAAATAAAATCTTTGAAAAAAAATTTAATCTTATAGAATAGTGAAAAATTAGCAGCTGAGTAGAGAATTTAAAACATTGATTCACTTAACTTTTCCCCATTTAAAGCTTATTTTGAATTGGTACAAATTTATCCATATTAATAATATACTGCCCAAAACTATAATAAATAAAACCTCTTGGATGGACTGTATGATAGATCTTCCTTTTCTTTAGAGATCACTCTTTATATTAGGGTTAAAAAAGTTTAACATTTCCCAAAGGTGTTCCTCAGCAAATTAGCAGGAATTTCTCAGAAAAAGACTAAATGGATAAAAGTGTCACAAACATTATTGGTTAAACAAAGTTAACTAATTCATTTATAACATATATTAAAGTATATGTTAATGTACATTTGATAATATCTAACAGGAAGCAGTGGTGTATAATATTTCTCAATCTTGTTCTTTTTCTAAGGATCCTTTTGTAGAATATCTTTTAAGACTAGTTTCTACACAGCACATTTTGGGAATAATACTTTGATATTTGCCATAGGAAATTCCCAGAGTTCACAGGTCCACTGTTCAGAAGTCACAGATCCTCAGTGGATCTCACAGGGAATATCTAAAGAGTCCTAAGAGTTGAAAGTGTGAAAGTATGAAATATGCATTTCTTTTAAGCAGAGCTGCTTCTTTGCTTTTGACTACTTATATGAGCTTTCGACCACCGAAATTCACCTATTTTTACTTTGCCCACAGTCTAGCTTAGTTTAACATCCAGTTCTCTGCTTGCTAGTGTCATTTCTTTTGCTTTTTAAGTAGAACTCATTTGTTTATTCATGTAAAGACAGACTAGCTCTCTAATGGATGGGTAAAGAAGTAATTCTTATATTCTCCGTTTTAACTAGACACAAATGTTAATACCTTTTCTTATTGATAATGCAGAAAGTAGGAGATAAATATTTTTGAGATCTAGTGCTAATTTGAAAAATTTATAACACACTCAGGTGAGACTTATTTTTTAATGAACATACATCTAATGGCCACATAAGGGACTTACTCAGTTTCTGGCATTCAGAATGAACTTCCTCTGGTGTTGTTGCCGTATATTTAGTCTTTGCTATCACAAAATTGTAGCATGAGTTCTGAAATGGTATCCATGGAGTAGATAGAACAGGAGATGGACACTGAACACTGCCAACTGGTTTGATCTCTCTGTCAGTCTCATCTAAGAAAAAGACAATGGTAAGAATTCTAACTGTAGACATAAATGTTGAATCCTGTTCATGGTAATTAGGCTTGATTTGTAGGGACTATTCAGGAAGCCAATAAATAATAGCCTAATGATGCTTGTTCTGTTTCTATTCAAATATAATATGACCTCTTAACTGGGTTTCTGTAGGAAGGAATTTATTTAACACAATTTCTTTCCCCTGCTGTGGAGTGAGTGGGAGAATATAAAACATGAGGTGCTATTAGGTTAAATGTAGTTTCTGTCTTCCTGTACCACCAAATCTCAAATACAAGAGGCAACCTCAGATACTATACAAAGATATTCATAATGGGCATTGAACTATAACTTTGGAAACTCATCTTTAAGTTTCTGGCTACTGATATCTTCTCTAATTTTAGAGTCATATTTTATTTTTTATTTATTTTTAAGGGTACATTTTAATGAAATACATGATTTTCTAAGTTGTTGCTTTAATGAAAACTAACAAATAGTTGAAAATCTGACATCTAGAAAATCTGGTTCTTTAAAAAATTTTATGAAAAAGCAATACATTTAAGAAGATGCAAATATAGCTATGCTCTACTCAAAGACAGTCAAACCGATTTAATATGCAGTAGAGACCATTCAGAATCTCTCCCAGCTTACAACTTTCTTTGTCTGGAAAGTAGTATCTTCTCTCTCCTGAAAATGCACAAATGTGGGCCCCTGGTGGTTGTAAAACCACCTTCCTCTGACTAAGGCTAGAGATTGCATACCTTATTCAGTTGGGTATATCAGATTCTTTCTAAGAATTTTGAAAGTGGAATTCAAGGATAGTCAATTCATTGCGAGTTACAGCTATATTTGAAGGCTTACAGAGCTGCCTTGTTTTACCATGTGCAGAAAGTATATAAAAAAAGAGTCAGATCCACAGAAAGAAACAGAAGAGATAGGTGGGAGACAGTATCTCTGGGTTCCTGATTCCATTCAGTTTCTGATTCCCATTCTCATGAAGCTCAGCTATATTCTCATTTTTGACGATCTAAATTTCCCTTTTGGCTGAAGCTAGCTTGAGCTGGTTACTGTGACTTGCAAACAGATGAATCTTAACAGTGACTCTTAAAAAGAAATATTAGTTGTTGATAAGAATTAGCAAAAAAATTCCCACAAATAGAAGTTCTTATAGAATATAAACAAAATATATCCAAAATGAGGCTAATAGGGATTTAAAACTCAAAGGTCAATTATCATTATCAACTGACAAAAATAAATATATAACAATGTCTAAAATAACAAATCAATGACCAAGTACTTAATATATAATAATTCTACCTGATATGAATTTTCACAAATTTTGTTGTAAGAAAGGACATGATTATAATTTCAAAACAAGATTTTACAGAACTACTCCCCACAAATTTCACTATTCATGAGACTGATAATAATTTAAGAACTAAAATATAGCATACTTCCTGGATAGTAGCAAATAGCACCCGGTTGCATATGATCACAATCAGATGTTTTCCAGAATCCATCAATGTCTAATATTACACAGTCTTCAAGTGGTTCATTATTTTTAGCCCAGCGACTAAACTGAAGATGTTTGCCATCTAACCAACCAAAGTTGAGTCCATCCTGTAAGCAGCAGAAATACATTTCAAGTGGCAATACTTCATGTTATCCCTTTTGTATTATTTTGTTCCTCATAGTCCGTCTAATGACCCTTAATTTTACCTTATATTTAACACACAGTTACATAGCACTTACCATGTGATGGGCACTGTCCTAAGTGCTTTGCAAATATTAACTTAGTCAATGTCATGACAACTATATGAAATGGGAACTACTGTTTCCATTTTACCTATAAGAAAACTGAAGGCATCTAATGTGACTAAGTCCCACAGAATATATACCCCAGTTCTGGGACTCTAATCCAGGCCTTCAGACGCTAGAGTCCATGGTCTGAGCCATTATACTGGGCTGCCACACAACATGTCTGGAACTGTTGGTTTTTGGAAGAAACCACATGTAGTATAACAACGTGTAGTAGTGGAAAGAACATGGGCTCTGGAGCTAAGCACATTTAGTTTGGAATTCTGGCTTAGTCATTCATTAGTTTTTGATTTGAGTTTACCTTGTGGAGTTTCCAACTTGTCAACTATTACGTGAATGTGACACTTAAACCCCTCAGGGCTAGAATGAGTGGGGTAATGTGTAAGACACATCATAGCCAGCTGGCACACAAGAAATGCTACATAAATATTAGCTCCCTTCCTCCTAACCCTGACTCAGGCCTTGCGGATCTCATCTCACACTGCTGTTTTTACACTTGTCTTTATGGAGAAACTTCCTCATTCATTATATTCTATTGTGCACTAAGAGTCTGTGAACATCCATCCTTACATCCTGACAAGGGCCTGACCACCCACCTATCTTGAAAGAGGCTTTACAGAATAGGTACAGTCTAGGGGATGGACTGCAGGGTACAGACCTGTTTGTGCTCCCCCCTGGTGCTATGAGAGCACCAGGCCTTATGCACTGACCCAACAACCTAAGCTGTTCTGAGGCCAAGGCAATTTTGCAACACTGGTTTCTTTGGAATATTGGGCAAAGGCCATACACAGTATCCTTAGTGAACCATAAATAGCAAACATGCTTAAGTTTCAACACCACCAACTGTTTCATTCTGAAACTGTTCTCCACCAGAGAGTTCCAGGGGTAACTTTGTGGCCAGTTAATCCCAAAGCCCTGTGGCCTCAAATGTGGCCCTTTGACCATGTGATGTTGCTTGTACTTGGTATTACTCTGGATTCCTTCACCTTTGCAGTCACAACTACCCCAGGTACCTGGGCCTTTGGAACTTCTATTCCTTGTAGATAAATCCCTGCACCCCCTATCCCTTTGCTGAATCTGATCTCTCTTTATTAAGACTGTAAATATCTCTTTACTAAATTCTTGACCTTAATTGATCTCAATTAAGTCTTTTCTAAGGGAATAATTTCCTTTCAATATCCACAAGGGAAGGCTGTTTGTTTCCATTCTCAGATACCACAGGGCTAGGAGAATGGAATAGTCAGTATTTTTATCTCCTTCAGTCATTCCCTTTGAGGTTTATGCAAACTACCAGATTCCTTGCCTCTTTCTGACATCCACTTAGGACTTGGCCTCCTTGTTCCTCCTGACATTCACTAAGGAGAAGCCCCATGTCTTTGCTCTGTCCTCCTGGTCCTAACATTGACCTACGGACATTAATGTTCATGTGAATGACTCCCCAATTCCCAAGCCTTCTTCACTTCTTCTATGTTTATGTACTTCCACTTCTATGTACTTAAGTGACCCACTGCCACAGCCACTCTCTGGACTTTATTTAACCCAGAACTGCCACAGGCCTTAGTTCAGACCAACATGAGCTCCTGCATGAATTTCTACAAGAAATCTCTAGATTACTCACTTCCTTATCCACTCTCTGCCAGTACAATTCTTTCTAAGTAAAAATCTGTTGTTACTACCATGTTTAAAATCTTTCAATATCCCTCCATTGCTTTCAATGTAAAGTTTTATTTATTTGTATCTGGTCATGTTCCAAAGATTTAAGGCAGTTTATGCAGACATGTAAGCATGTTAAAGAGTGAAAGGAAAAAGAGAAACATAGGTGAAGATTAAAATAGGGTAAGAAATAAGACCAAAATCCTTAAGTGGAGAAGAAAAAGAAAATGGTATGATCCCAAACATCTTAAAAAATATATACATATGTATATAGAGAAAAACTTGAGGGATATAAACCAAATTATTCAATCTTATTTATTACAAAGTGCTGGGATTACAGGTGATTTTAATTTTCTTTAAAAAAAAGTTCACTATAGGAGAACCTGGGTCACTCAGTCAGTTAGGTGTCTGACTCTTGATTTCCACTTAGGTCATGATCTCAGGGTTGTGAGATGGAGCCCTATATATCAGGTTCTGCAACTGGGTGTGGAGCCTGCTGGGATCCTCTCTCTTCCTCTCCCTCTGGACCTCCCCCCATCCCAACACTCAACCCTATCTGATTTTTTAATTCTTCTCTTTGTCTCTTCTTTTCTTTGGCTGGGGAGATGTAGCAGTTCCTGATTCCTACTCAGTCTTTTACTAGAGTAAGAAGAAGTGCTCAGCTACATATGTTCAGTACAACTTTTTCTTAATATAAACAATACAGCACTAGATCTTTGAACAGTAGAAAGATGACAGTCACTAAAAATTACACACTTCATGAAATTTACTCACTGGAGTAAGATTTTACAATCTCCAGGTTCTTTTTGTCTGATATGAGAAATGCTGTGTGCAACAAAAATTTCACATTTCATCACCCAGTCCTGGCAGTTGGGACTGAAAACTTACATCTTGACTGGAGAGTCCAATCCATAAAGAAGAGTTATGAAGAACCGCCTGCACAGTTAGGAACGCCTGCTGGTAAGGGTCTGTGATGCTCACCAGGTGCATGTTCTCTTTCTGACACTCTCTTAGAGCATCAAACCAAGTCAGAGTCTTCATGATGATTTTGTACAGATTATTTAGATACTTTACAGTATCTGAAGTATTCTGCAAGGTTTGTCTGTTTTCAATTTCTGTGTGTAAAAGAAAAAAAAAACACCCACTCTGCAAGTCATAGGACATTTCTTCAAATTTCTCCACAACGAGTGCTTTAGATATTACTTATCTATTCATTTATTTTAGATTTTGTTAGAACTAGGTATGTATGTCTTGCTGTGTATCTTAATATGTAATATGGGTGAGCCACAGCATTTGTTTTCTAAAATTAGAACAAAATTCTGTTTTTGTTGCTCTGATTTAGGAAGGAAAAAAGCTATAAATAAAAGGAGCTGGCAATTAGATTACCATTTCAGGTTGGTGTCAAATACCTCCTTTATTTGAACTCCTTCAACAGGAGAAAATGTTAGGTGTCCTCTTACAAAAGATCTCATCAAGGAGAGCTCTGATGAGAAAAATGTACAAAACAACCCACAAGAGGTTGTATTGAACTACTGCTTTATAGTACTTCTCTGAGTAAAGCAATTACTAAACAATATGAGACAAATAAGGCATAGGTTGGTTTAATAAAAAGTTCTTTAGAAGTACATGGATTATCTACTTGAGGTTCTCATTACATGACAAAGCTTTTTTTTAAAAAATCATTTGTTAAAAACATTGTAATCAATGAAAACAATGTAATACCTCTAAAAATATCTTTTTGAAAATATGGATGATTCTTATTTTTAAGCCCACATTTTATTTTTATTTGGGCTACAGTAAGGTATATACAGTGACCCATTTATAACACTTCACAGCTTTTGTGTGTGTGTGATAAAGTCTACCAGAGCCAATTAAATATATTTTTTCTCCTTCTTTCTCCAAGATAGAAAGTAAAAACTGAAAAATAAATGCCAGAGTGGAAAAAAGAACAAAATTCAACCATAACTTACTATAATTAGACAACTCCTATTAATAAATTCCATCTGATACTTAATTTTGATATTTAATTAAGTAAAGCAATGACACTTGAAAAAAATCATATTCCATTTGAGATAACGTGACTAACTGAACCAATATGGATTTAGCTATCTTAAAATTTTAGGAAAGCTGTTTATAAATTAATATTAATTCATTTATAAGATTTTTGTGAAAAAATACTGTATTTATCCAACAGCATAAAGTACCATAGATATCTAGGTAATAATTTATACCTGAATATTTCTGACAGAGAGACAGAGTGTGGTATTCACTGCAGGCAGTAAAATTCCATGTCCCAGTATAAGGTGATGTTTGGAGGTTGAGCATTAGAGCACATTGGTATCGGGACTCTTCCTCAAAAACCTAAACAAAAAGGCAAACGTGTACAAATAATCATGAAACTAACTGTCTGAAGATCCTAGCAAGAGAACTTTATATCCCAAATTGGATTTTTCCTCCTGTAAAAAATTCCATTAAGAAGTTGACCCTGAAATCACAAGAAAATCCTCAAAAACTTCTGAAGCATGGAAAAGGGGCAATTAACTTTAGAAATTATAAAACAAAACAGTGGCAATATCATTAAATATAAGATCCAAACAGATAAAAGAAAAACTGGTAAAAGTAAGATGAAAACACAATTATAGTAATATTTAACACTCTGCTATCATTCTTGAAGTTAGTGTTTTTGTTTTCTTGGGGCAAATATTCCAATAGTGGAATAATGCAAATATCTATTATTAAGTGTATTGTGTTTTTTAAAGGAAAGATGAACTAAGAATTGAATACAAGGGATTAGAAAATGAACAAAAATAGATCTCCAGGGATCCCTGGGTGGCGCAGCGGTTTGGCGCCTGCCTTTGGCCCAGGGCGCGATCCTGGAGACCCGGGATCGAATCCCACGTCGGGCTCCCAGTGCATGGAGCCTGCTTCTCCCTCTGCCTGTGTCTCTGCCTCTCTCTCTCTCATTCTATGTGACTATCATAAATAAATAAAAATTAAAAAAAAATAGATCTCCAAAAAACTAGGATGGAAAAATGTAGTAATATTTGTAAATGTATCTCAAGCAATAGAAGATGGAGAAGAGGGAGGAGAAAACCAATACATACCAGTTTTGTAAAAATCTGAATAAAAAAAAAGTAAAAACACAATCAAAATAAGGCATGAGGATTTGAAAAGATAATAGCATACACAATTTTATTCTAATACCTTTGAAAATCTAAATGAGGGGCACCCGGCTGGCTCAATCGGAACAGTAGGGGACTCTTGATCTTGAGGTCATGAGTTTGAGCCCCACAAGGGGTGTAGTTTACTTAAATATATTTTTAAAAAATCTAAATGAAATAGGCAACTTATCTTGAAAAGAACAAATTAGCATAATTGTTATAAGGAGAAGTAGAAACACCAAAATGTACCAGTAACTTCACTGGAAATTGAAAATTAATACTAGTAGTTCATTTTCAAAACTATATGTGAGATAGCTAAAAGCTTTAAATGAATTATCTTATGTAATTTTCACGTTGTGTTGTAGGTACAACAGAATCAGAATTTACAGACAAGAAATTGAGGATTAAGAAAAGTTAAGGGTGGGGGGAGGGGGCGGCGGCCCCGGGTGGCTCAGCGGTTTGGCGCCACCTGCAGCCCAGGGTGTGATCCTGGAGTCCAGGTTGGGCTCCCTGCAGGGAGCCTGCTTCTCCCTCTGCCTGTGTCTCTGCCTCTCTGTATCTCTCATGAATAAATAAATAAACTTTAAAAAAGAAAGAAAGAAAAGTTAAGTGAACTTCCATACTAATGATTGAATGAAATTCAAAACCAGACAATGTGACTCTGGAATTTAGGCATTTGACCACTGCACCAAATCCCTTTATTATTAGAGAATGATGTCTGAAAATAACATCACATGATTTTGTAGGTAATTCCCTCAAACTTTCAGGCTGAATAATTCTCCAGGCTGGATTATAATTTCAAAACACAAAGGCAGAAAGCTAGCCAGTTCATCTTATGAAGCTGACATAATCGGGAAAAAAAATCAGACAATATAGCATAAAAAATTAATTCTATGAGCAGTTGAGCAGAGATGAAAACATTCCCAAATATAATTCTAAGAAGTCCAATTCAGTTAATAGCAAAATAATAATCCATTTGGAGCAACTAGAATCTATGAAAGATAAAGATCGTTTATTATAAATATATGACAATTTTAGTAGACGCTAGAAAAAAAGCTTTGGAAAATTCAGTACTTATTCCTGAATAAAAGTTCTAAATAAGCTAGTTATAGAATGATATAACTTAAAGAGTCAGCATTGGAGTGCCTGGGTGGCTCACTTGGTTAATCATGGACTCTTCTGCTCAGCTTAGGTCAAGCTTCATGTCAAGCTCCATGCTAGGCGTGGAGCCTACTTAAAAAAAAAACAAAAACAAAAAAAAACAAACCAAAAAGACCCCGAAAAATGCCCAAAGAGTGAGCATCATAAATAACAATGAGAGATTGCAGACAATCCTACAAAATCTAGATCAAGTCTAGGATGGTAGTTATTTCTTCTGGTACTATCACAGTTCTAGAAGTCCTACCACATGTAGTGAAGCATAAACTAGTATTTGAAGATTATGATTATCTAAGTAAGAAACCCCCAAAAATCTAGTGAAAAACTCTAGAAGTAATAAGAGCTTTTAGTAAGATGGGTGCCTATGAAATAATACATAAAAATACCCAAACAATAGCTTCTTACATATCAGTGAGAAAATCAAGAAAAAAATCTGTCATTCTCAAAGGCAATGAGACAGAACTACAAAAATTTCACTGTGGGCTCTAAAGGAAGACTTGAATAAATGGATATACCATATTCTTGAGTTGAAAGATTAATAAAAAGATGTTAACTGTCCCTAAAATATTGTCAAATTCTCATCATAAGTTTGTTTAATTGTTTGGGTTGGAGATTGACCAAACAATTATAGTTTGGAAGAATGGACAGGAATAGCTAAAACCATTTTTTAAAGGTATATATATACAGGATAATTATTCCTATCATATTTTTTAATATGCAAAATTATAGTATTTAGATCAGTGTCATAGCTACATAAGAGTATATTTCATACACTCACACTTAATGTAAAGGAGGCAACCTATATTGCTTTTAACAAGTAGAAGTATATGCAATAAATGGTGTTTGACAGGATTAGGGAAAAGCATGAAGTATTCATTGACAACATATACTATATACCATGGCTGTATCATGCAGTCAGGAAAAAAAGGCAAAGAAAATATAGGCATATATTTAACTAACATCTACATGATGAAATTTCTAACCTAAAAAAAATGAAGGAGAAAAGAGAAATAAACATATTTGAATGTACACACATGCAAAAAAATCAAAACTTACTTCTATAATATTTTTGGTATTCTGCGCTTAAGAAAAAAACCTACAGGAATATTTTTCATAAACACAAGAAACATAGAGTCAGCATGTTTAATATTTACATAATTGTAAAATCAATAAGAAGTACATGAAGACAAAAGAAAATACATGAAGGCTTTGAAAAATATTGAAAAAGAATAAGAATATTCATACTTGATGAAATTCAAGGTACTACTGAACTTACAGAAGTTTGTTTTCATTAGATATCAGAGAAATATAAAGAAAAATATGATTGATATATTTAAATTACCAAATTAGCAAAAATTTTTAAAAGACATTGACCCTTAGAGGTAACACAGGAGAGAAGCTAAAAACACTGGTTCTGCAGTCTCATGGACCTAGTCACGACTGCATGCGTGACTGCATGACTGGGGACAAGTTACATGACTCCAGTTTCTACATTTCTTAGAGGCAGAATAACAGACCTTTTCACATCTGTTGTGTAGATTAAATGAAATAATGCATATGATGCATTAGCAAAGTGCCTGACACATATTAAGTGATCAACAAATGTTAGAAATTATTAATATGTTGGTATGGATAGAATGGCAATTATAATATAATACTGACAAATATAAAAACTCATAAACCTTTCTGGAAAGCATTTGGTGAATAGAGTTTTATAACTACTTTATCTTTTGATCTGGCTTTGACTTCCAAAATCTATCTTAAGGAGGTAATCTGAATATAACCAAAGATTATGCACAAAACTGTTCATTGTAATGCTATTTATGATTATGTAAAAATAGAAACAACCTAAATACTCAGCACTGGTTGGATAAATAACCATTAAGAAATATCACACAACTATTAAAATGCTTATCAAGTACATCTTTTAATGGTATAAGAAACTATTTATAATACTAAATGAGAAAAGTAGACAATGGTATATATACCATTTTATATGTATTATGATATTATCTATGTCAGAACAATAATATATGAAAAAGCCCTAGAAGAAAAAATGCTGAAATACTTACTGCAATTTCCTAGATTAGGGATCAAATATGGTTTGAGACTCATTTAGTTGGCTCACATATGTGATAATGGACTAAGATAAGATAGGACAAAGAGAATAAACTAGATAAAGTAGAATAAAAAGAAAATATCAATGTGTATACCATCACCCTTAATCAATTTTTAGAATATTTTTACCACCTCCAAAAAGAAATGCCATTACCCTTTAGGCATCATTCCCAATCCTTCTTCCTTCTTTAGCCTCTGGCAACCACTAATCTACATTTTATCTTTGAAGATGTGCCTGCTCTGAATATCTCATATAAGTGGACTCATACAATAGAAACCTCATTCTTTTTTTTTTTTTTTAAAGATTTTATTTATTTATTCATAGAGACAGAGAGAGGCAGAGACACAGGCCGAGACAGAAGCAGGCTCCATGCAGAGAGCCCGACATGGGACTCGATCCAGGGTCTCCAGGATTACACCCTGGGCTGCAGGCGGCGCTAAACCGCTGCACCACCGGGGCTGCCCCAGAAACCTCATTCTTAATCCAATAATTTATAGAAGACTTGGGTATTTCACAGAGCTATATAGGTTTGTGTGTGTGTGTGTGTGTGTGTGTGTGTGTGAGAGAGAGAGAGAGAGAGAGAGAGAGAGAGAGTGCACACATATATGCACACAGCAGAAGTGGGTGGTGGGAGCAGAGGGAAAGGGAGAGAGAATCTTAAGCAGGCTCCATGCCCAGCCAGAGCCCGAGTGGGGGCTTGATCTCATACCCTTATATCATGACCTGAGCTGAAATAAAGTCTGATGGTCAACCGACTGAGCCACTCAGGTACCCTGAGCAATTTAGATTTCTGATTTTAAAAACTTACATTTGTTGGTATTTTCAACCTCCCACCAACTACTAACGGGTGAAAGTTACTGTATGTCAGTTCTCTGTTATCTGTCCATTTGTTTATCTTTTCATAGGCAGTCCAGCGCAAACCAATCCATAAAGTAGCCTCCATATCCGGAAATAAGGATGTAATGAAATCTGTCAGAAAGAGATTTTTTAAGAGCATTGACTTATTCAAATTATAGATACACCAAAAAAATCTCATCGAATACTTCTTACTTATCTACAACGATACTCTTTTACCTATTCTGTAATAAAGTGATTTAATAAGAATTTTTAAATATGCTAATTCCCCAAAGCCTCTCAGAACTAACTTGGCCCCCATATCAGAATAAAACATGTTTCCAAAACAATTCTGTTACCTTGTTCTATCTGGCTCAGCACTGAAGGAAGGGTGCCACCATAAGTGTGACAAGTATCACTTGCTTGGGAAAATGTGAGAGACTTCGGTTTGATTTTTAGAAAACACTGCAAACAAAAAACGTTAATGAAGCATAAGATTCCAAGCACCGAAGAGCTCACATAGGAAGTAAATATCTCATCTTTTAGAGGGCTGCTAATTTTTGGTCTGTGAGATATGGAAATTTACAAAGTAGTACTATATGAATGCAGACCTACACTGTCAATATAAACAACTAAAGAGTGGTCTATCAGTCAAATTATTTTTTTTAAAAATCTCCCTCTTATTGAGTGCTTCCCATGTGCTAAACAGTTTGCATAATACCATCTCACTTAATTCCTACAACAAATAGGGAAACTGAGGCACAGGGCAGTTAAGTAACTTTACCTGTAAGTTAAGTAGACAGATAGTGGTATGATCAGCGTTTAGATTTATTCCAACTGATTTCAAAGGCTGAACTGATAATCATCACCTCCTTATATAAAAACATGCATTTTAAAAGAAGTCATCCCCCTTTCTTTTGGCAGGAAATCTTAATTCAAACTTACCTCAATTATGTAAATTAATTTAGTCCCAGTACCTTGGTGTGTGTGTGTGTGTGTGTGTGTGTGAAGATTGTTCTAATTTTAAAAAGTCAAAATGTATCCTTATTATTTTAGCTTCAGTACAGATGTTTTCAGTTGTAAGACTCCTATCTCCCTTTTTCTTTTTGATACTATGATCATGTTAGTGTGAAGTGGTACACCTTAAATACTGTTCCTTAAAGCATCCAACAGAATTTTTTTTCAGACTCCCTGGAGACTGGAGTGGCCAGTGAGCTCTATGTCACTGGGTGGCTTCTAGAAAAGGCCCTAGACAGAACACCCTGAGCTTGAGCTTGGAAGCTTCAGTATGTTAAGGATGGCAGAGCAAAAAGATAACAGGAGCCTGGATTTGAAGATGTTGTGGAGCTTCCATACCAACTTCAGCCCACTTACCCTCAAACTTCTTTTGTGTGAGAGAATAGATGTTCTAACATAGTATAGCAATCTCTTTACTTAGCAACCAAATGCATTTCCAAAGAGATACATATACCAGTCTAGATTATCATTTCAAAGAGGCAGATATAGAATCTAGCGTTTCCCAAACCTATGTAATCATTAAACCCCTTGGAAGGCAAGATCAATGATTAACATTTTGTTAGCGTATATGTAGCCAAAACATAGTTTGGAAATGCTGGTCTAATTTAATTGGTAGATGCTGCTTGGATGCTTTCTTTCAAGTGGAAAATATATCAGCCAGAAATTGTCAGTTTCCTTCATGTTATAGAGACAGTTTTATTATTTAAAGTATTATAATTCATTGACCAATCAACATCAGCAATTTAATTTTAGTAGCAACTGGATAAGAACACAGTACTTTGAAGACCTGTAGGCATCACTAGCTTGAGAGTTAACTTGGTTTCTGGCAATGTAGAGGATCAGGTGAGTTACTGAAATACGCAGAGGCTATCTTTAGTGAAGTTGTTTGATGGGCTGCGATTCTGCTACAGGCCATACAACCATCATGAAAGCAATCATCATTTGTACAATGTAGCAATTCCCTTTTTACCTTATTCTGAAAAGCAATCCAATCCCCAGAGCACTGTATTTTAGCTGCAGAATCTGGACTATATTTTTCTAATGAAGAGACATTATATTTTTCACAGATGAAGGGCAACTTGGTACCACAGTCTGCTGGCTTATTTAAGTCTGAGAAATGAAAAGCAGAATTACAGGGGTGAGAATTTTCCATTCAGCACATTTTAAAAACAATCCAGTAGTAAAGAAAATCTCTTTCGATTGCTCTTTCCCAAACAGTTAAAATATATTCCTCTTCTCTAGCCATTTCTATCTTCTGTTATTATTTATCAGTAGGGTAGAGCATACCAGCTTTGCCTATAAAAATGCATACATTTAGTATAAGAACCACAGTTACCACCACAGGACCTGATGGTAGGAAATAGGCTGAAAGTGAAGGCTAATGAGGGGGAAGAGAACTAAACTATATTTAGAATTGCTACCTGTTTATCTTTGCAAATTTATTTATATGCTTTTCAGTTATGAAAGTGGTAAGTTTATTTCTAAGCAGTCACTATAGGATAAAGGAAGTCAAAATACAGTGAAAAGCAACTTTGTTTGCATTTGGAATTTGAACTATGGTCATTAGCAATAAGCCAAAATAAGATGAAGCAACCAACGTATAATCAACAGGAAAATAAGGTTAAGTTAGTAACCGAACCTGAAGTTCACATATTACATGATCAACATTAAAAGATTTGGAATTTACCATTGAACCAAGTCTTTGCAGACATGTACGAGCATTCCTCCCGAAATGTTATAGGAAAGTGATGCCATGGATATCGTGAGCTGCAAAAAAATGAGAGAGTTCACAGCTCATAATGTAGTTACATGTTCTATTCTGTTTTTTTTTTAAACTGTTTTTTTAAACTGTTATTTTAATTCTAAATTTAATGTTATGCCATTATTTTATGCCACTTTTTTCTTGATGCTAATATGTAACAGGACTTGGTTTCTGTAGTCCACACGTTTTATTGATGAATGTTCAAAACAAATTATAAATAACAATCCATTTTCTAAAGGAGAATTTGGGACTGCTTCTTTCCAATGACTTTACAAAGGCAATATCAATGGTGTCACATACTACATAAAACGACGATCTACTGGCTGATCGGTAGTTCTCACCCACCACTTCTGTTCATCACCAGATATCTGAAAAACAAACCAACCAACAGACAAAATCACCTATCCTTATTTGTGCTGAGTTTCCTAAAGAGGTTTTATTTAAAATACCCTGTCCCACCATAACCACAACCACTAACATTTCTGGACATTCCATTACTTCAGTCTCTAAATTATGTAAACCAGGTCCTTCCATCAAAGAAGTAGCTGGAAACTTTTCACTTAACACTATGTGCTATTATAAAACATGGTCATTGTAATTATAGGTATACATTAATTCAATTATATAGTGTTCTATTGTAAATAATTATAAATTTAAAAATATAAAATTATTTTCCTATCTTACAAGGTTAGTTATTTAAAGAAATGGAAACTCAAGTTAACTATGAAGTTAACTTTTAGTACAAAATATAATAAAGAATTAGAATATCTTATATTACGGGCACTTGGGTGGCTCAGTGGGTTAAGTGTCTGCCTTCAGCTCAGGTCATGATCTCAGGATCCTGGGATTGAGCCCTGAGTTGGGCTCCCTGCTCAGCGGGAAGCCTGTTTCTACCTCTCCCTCTGCCTGCCACTCCCCCTACTTGTGCTCTCCCTCTGTCAAATAAATAAATAAATAAATAAATAAATAAATAAATAAATAAATAAATAAATAAAGTAAAAAAAAGAATATTTTATATCATCTCTGTTGATTTTATAAGTTGACATTTATAACTAATCTTGAATATTTTAAAAACATTATGGAGTTTTATCCCCCTTTTCTAACATTAAATGATGAATTTGGATGTTCTTAGGCAGATTTTACTTGAAAGGAATATTTAACTTCTGTAGATTTTGGCAAGACTTCTGAAATAATTTGTGATGGAATAAATAGAAAAATAAGAAAAATATTTTAAAATATATTCTCTCAAATTACATTTGCTATTTTGTTTTTGATGGCTTTTAGTCCTACAAGAGATGTCAAGGTAGCCAGAGAGCTGTGATTGCTAGCACAATACAGGACCGCTTCTTCATAGTTTAAGTGAGGATCAGCAACAAACCAGTATTCACTCCCTTCAATTACAACTGGAGGTCCATGAATTCCAGGACGCTCTGAAGAAGAAGAATATCAGAGTTATGCACAGATCAAACTATACCATCTAAGCATGAATTAATGTTTAAAACTATTTATGAATAGTAATCCGCTCTCTCTGGCCAGGGCAGTGCTACCTGCAAAGCACCAAGGATTGCTGAGCCAGTGAGAGACTTTGCCACCCTCCTGTACTCACAGAGGAGAACAAATCCAGCCTCAAAGCCTCATTGCACACCAGCCAATCACCTTTCCTGCCTGGAGATATTTCATCTCCCTTGAAGATGTGATAGAGAAGCTGGCACTTGGGCATGGGCTTAGATAATTAACTAAATACATTACAGAAAAGATAAAAGCAGCTTTGGCTAAGTTTCAGTTTTCTTAACTTACCTGGATTATACCAGTCTGGTGTTTTTAGAGTATGGCCTGGTACAAGAAAGAAAACAAAAGGCTGAGGATTAGTATCCAATTACAGATGATGTCCTATTATAAGTAAGTGCCTTTAATCTAACTCAAGAGGACTTTCTGAGTTGGACCATTTCTGGCCAGATTATTTCTTTTCATATTATGATTGCTTTGGTTTGAATTTTGTGGGGCCTATGCTAACACTGTTTTAGTGGCAATCAAAAAGGTAGATCTGTTAACTATTAAAGTATTCCTGGTAGTTCTCTACCTTACATCACGGAAGTCACAAAGGAAGACTAGATGGATAAAATATGGCTAATAATTAGAAAGTATACATAAGTAAATGAGTATATTGTACATATTACACAGAAACACTAAGGAATAGGCACAAAGATAATCATTACTGCAGGATGAGGTTATTCAGGAACTACTTCTCCATCTAATGCAATTTGAGTAATTGTTTTATAAACCTTGGTTGGTAGAATTCATTGTTCTCCCAAGGTATTCTTTTTTTTAAAATTTAATTTTATTTATTTATTCATCACACACACACACACACACACACACACACACACAGGCAGAGACACTGGTAGAGAGAGAAGCAGGCTCCCCGCAGGAAGCCCAATGTGGGACTCCACCCGGGACTCGGGATCACGCCCTGAGCCAAAGGCAGACACTCAACCGCTGAGCCACCCAGGCATCCCACCCCCAATGTATTATTATTGTAAACAATGTACAGTAATCCAGTACTGAACCTTTTGAGAAAATGAGAGACAAAACTGGGAGAGAAATAATAAAAATCACCCAGAATTTCCAGTTGGAAACAGAGGAAATGTGATACTTTACAATGCATTATGGGCTTTGAAATTGAGTGAGTCAGGGTCCAAATGCCCTCAGACCCTTCACTGCTATGGGACTTTGGATCTGCTGCTTAGACTCAACTTTCTACTCTATAAAAAACAAACAAACAAACAAACAAACAAAACCAGAAACAAGACTCCTACTTAACTCACAAAGACTGTGAAAATCACTTTAAGATTGCCCCTACAGAAGCATCCAGACAGTTCCAGGGCAGAACAGCTCCTCGCAGGTTGCTAGTTGCTTTCCTCTCCCTTTTCATTCTGGTTGTAGGTCACACTTGTTTCAAGGCAAAGATGTAATTTGATGACTATTAGAAACTACAGAGTAAAATAACTGTTCTTCATTTTGCTGTCGTATCTGGGCCTAATGTAGAGAAGACCTTTCTCAGAGCACTGCCTATATATTCAACATCTTTGGCTTCTCTCTCTAAGTCAGTTCTCTATATATTGGTTAATTTCTATCAACAATGGTCAAATTAGTTAAAAATATGCATAGTTGTTTATTGTAATCTTGTAAAAAAACTTCTGTTCAGACACATGAAAAAATGCTCAACATCACTTGGCATCAGGGAAAAACAAATCAAAACCACAATGAGATATCATCCTACATGGGTCAGAATGGCTAAAATTAGCAACTCAGGAAACAAAAGCTGTTGGTGAGGATGTGGAGGAAGAGGAACCCTCATACACTGTTGGGAATGCAAGCTAGTGCAGCCAGTCTGAAAAGTAGTATAGGAATTTCTCAAAAAGTTAAAAATAGAACTACCCTATGATCCAGCAATTGCACTATTAGTTATTTATTCAAAGCATATAAAAATAGTGATACATTGGAGCACATGCACCCCAATGTTTATAGTAGTAACGTCCACAGTAAATATGAAAAGAGCCTAGATGCACATCAACAGATGAATGGATAAAGAAGATGTAGTACACACACACACACACACACACACACACACACAGAGAGAGAGTTCCCTCTTTTATTAATGGCCTGCCAGTTGCCTTTGTGAAAGAAACTTGACAGTTACTATACTGGATATCTTGTCTTTATTTATTTTTTAAAACAGATTTTATTTATTGATTTGAGAGAAAGAGAGAACCCAAGCAGGGAGGAGGGACAGAAGGAGATGGAGAAACAGGCTCCCTGCTAAGCAGGGAGCCCGACCTAGGGCTCCTGGGATCCTGACCTCAGCAGAAGGCAGATGCTTAACCAACTGAGCTACCCAGGCGCCCCAAGGATATCATGTCTTTTAAAGGTAATATGGTGGTGGCCTTTTTAAAAAAAGATTTTATTTATTTATTCATGAGAGACACAGAGAGAGGCAGAGACACAGGCAGAGGGAGAAGCAGGCTCTATGCAGGGAGCCTGATGAGGAACTTGATCCCAGGACCCCGGGATCACACCTGAGTCAAAAGCAGATGCTCAACCACTGAGCCACTCAGGCGTCCCTACATTATGTGTCTTCTTTTCATTGAAATAATCTTTCATCCCAAAATCTAATCTCTAAATTTATCTTAAATTTTATCTTTTATAAAAACTCTTTCATGATCAAAGAGGAAGGTACCATCTAATCTCAATAAGCCAGTCTTGTACTTGTGGTTGGAGTCAGGCAGGATGGAGCTTAATATATTAACTATATCTTCATAGGCTTTTTAAAACTATAATTATAGTCTAAAACACTCTCTTAGGTACTTTGGACTCAGCATTTACAATGTTCACATGAGAAGACTGTGAAAAGGAATAACTACCACTTACCTTTTGGAATCTGGCATACCCATTCAAGTTTTGTATCACAAGCAAAAGGTCTTAAATAAATAAATTCTCTGTCATCATAGAAATACCAGCTTCTTCGCCCTGGCCTCTGAATGACCTAAAGGAGAAAGAGGATTGCAGAATATTTTGAAGTTGATGAAACTTCATAAAACACTAAAGTATAATCTTAAATCTCTTTTAGCCCTAGCACCTAAGATATTTATTTAATGAATGAACACAGTGTTTAAATACTTAACATAAAGACTCCTAACTCTGGGAAATGAACTAGGGGTGGTGGAAGGGGAGGAGGGCGGGGGGTGGGGGTGAATGGGTGACGGGCACTGAGGGGGGCACTTGACAGGATGACCACTGGGTGTTATTCTGTATGTTGGCAAATTGAACACCAATAAAAATAGATTTATTATAAAAAAATTAAATAGTTAACAGCCTAATCAAGAACCATAACAAGGGTTGATAGAGGAAATATGTCATAAAGTCATGTTTATGTCCAAAATGTAAATTATTGTTTTTTTTTTCCTGTTTTTGCTGATATGAAATTGTAGATTGTACCTTTAAATCTGAGAAAGGTCAAGCTAGAAAAAAAAAATTTACTTCAGTGGCTTCCAAACACCAGACTATGATTAAAGCAGATCTGTGAAAATGCGACATAAGAGTCTGACCCCAAGGACCCAGGCTCCTGCTTTGATGTTGCTCTACACCAGGATGTTAGCTTCCTCTGCATGATCCGAGATAGGTCTCTACAAATTGTACTCCAGCCAGTAAGCAGGCAAGAAAGGAAAGGGGAGACCATGACCTGGGAGGAATCTCCATCAGTTTTTGGACTGTTTTCTCTTAAGGCCAAGATTCTGGTAGGTACTGTGCCAAGTGAGGGGAGATTCTCCTAGAACACTGGCCTGGCTGGCCTTGTTCCTGACACAGGCCACATCAGTGCTTCTTTTAGTTAGTTTTTTTGGTAGATTTTCTAATCTCTTCACACATAAGAATTCTACTTACATAGAACATAGTATATTGCATCAGTGTTCTGGAAACATTACAAGCTTCTCTGAAGTTTTCACCTTCTCATATGTTAAACAGAATTCTATAAAAATGGCATGATACCATACAGTTTATTACCAGAACAATTGCTTTGAAAATAGGGCTTTCCAGGGGCCTTCTCAGTTCTTCGTCTCAAGCAACCTGCAGCACTTCTGGGCAATCACTTACTTGGCTTACATAGCAAAGGTATAATATATATGTCTCCTACTTCCCCATCTTATATTTTATGCATTGACAGCTCTCCTAAACCCACTTTTGACCCTTTATACTTTTTTAAAAATACATATTTCTTCCTTCAACTCTGGTCTTCTGATTTCAACTATAGGATATTTCTTACTAAAAAAAAAAAAAAAAGAATATTTCTTACTACTAGCTTGAATTCAAAATATCTAGACTAAAATGTAGTATTTTCTCCATAAACCAGTATCCTTTCTATTTATTTCTCTTTTTTTTAAAAAAAATTTATTTATTCATGAGAGACACAGAGAAAGAGGCAGAGACACAGGCAGAGGGAGAAGCAGACCCCTGATAGGGAACCAAATGTGGGAATCAATCCCGGGACCCCAGGACCAAGCCCTGAGCCAAAGGCAGATGTTCAATCACTGAGCTACCCAGGCGTCCTTTTTCTATTTCTATAAACATCTAGTCATATAGCAGGGTGGACCCAGCACATGGGTTTAAATTTCAGTTATAACCCTGTACACTTACTCAGAACTCAACTTTCTTCCTTAAAAGATAAATATGTAATAGCATCTACCTCACAAGATCACCTAAGTATTAAGTGAAATAAGTACCTAGCTCACAAGTTAACAAGTATTAGCTGATGCCACCATCATCATGATTACCAGTGTCCATCACCATCTCCTTATAATACTCATTCTTGCATAAAACGTATACCTCATCTTTCATAGCTCCTATAACTACTTGTTTACTTCTCTCCTACTAAACTTAAGTTCTGTGACAACAACTGTTTTATATCTTGTCATTGTTGTATCCTCCAGAGCATTATAGACTGCTTGGACTACTATTTATGGAATCAATAAATGAATGAATTTTGCAAAGGAAGATGACTAATTGCTCTTTTATGTCATCTTATCCTACTAGCTACATCTTGAAATCTGACTTGAGATGAGTCTTCTTCATACTCTCCTTGGTTCATGTCAAAAAAAATTTTATAATGCTGTTGCCTACCATCAATCTAACTTCCCAACCTTGTTTTCAACCATGGCGCCGATGCAAACTTCCTGATCTGTATCCCTTTCTCCTCAATGCCTTAGTTTCTCCCTTCCACTCTTCCTTTATTTTATGCCACCTCCTCATGCCATTCCCCCATTAGAAAGGCTTACCTTATCCCATCTGTACAAAAGCTCAGTTCAAGTCCTACCCCTTTTGGAAACAGGCCACAGGAACCACTTCCTCTTCTGAGTTTCATTAGAAGCTAAATTGGAGCCTATTACTTTACAGTTATAAGAGCAACCTTTTTTGAATATGAATTTTATTTTCTCAAATTAAGTTTAAGTTAGGTAGCTTGAGAGACAGGGCCATGGGTGTTCTTCCCTCCCATCGCATCTAATATCATGCTCCATACCTAAAAGAGGCACTCTGTGGATCTGTTGCCTGACTGTACACAATGCCAAATTTATTTTTAAATATGCAGATTTTCCACCATTGTACTGACCTTGACAGCAGCACAGTCTCTGATATCATAATCCTGCTGAAACTCATTTTCCATGAGAATAGTAGACACCTTAGAAAACAAGAGAGACTTGAGAACTTACGACTGATGTATAAATATTTGCAATTTAGATGTAATTTAGGCAGCTTTAATAACTCAAACACATTCACATGTCACAGTAGGAAAACCTTTTCATCTCTCTCTCTTTTTTAATATCAAGACGTTAAATCATGAGATGACTTAGAAAATATCATACTTCCAAACAATGGAAGCTACAGTTTCAGAAGTAGAGGTTAATAGTGCATTAAGTTTGCAGCTGGAATTATAGAGAATAAGGAACTTGCAAAAGACCTTTTTTTGGCATGTGTTGAAATGCCAGTTATTCAATTAACTAATTTCAGATACGCTCCTATTTGAAAATGAAAGTCCAAATGAAATTTTACATTTGGAAAGTATATATGATGAATTGACACAATGGTACTGTGGAGAAAATATTTAATAAATTTTATAATAATTTGCTCCTATAAGTATTACCTAAAACCTCTCTTTAGGATAATGTAAACATTTGAAATAGTTATATTTAAGGTCTTTTTAAGCTCTCCCCAAACAAATTATTTCCTTTAATAAAGATACATTCTTTTTTACATAACTCTTATGTTTTTAGAATAAAAGTAAAAGCTTCTCATTGTGGAAAAAGGAAATAAAAAACAGCACAAAGAAAACAAAAAAGATGACCACTGTATCTATATAACCATAGTTTTATATTTTTAGGACTACAGAGAGAATGTATGGCTATTTTTCAATTTTTAAAAAATATTTATTTAGGTATGGTTATTTTTTAAAAATAAAAACAAGGTTAGTATCTTTTCCCCTCACTTCATATATGTGAATGCATTTCCATATCAATAAAGATACTTCTTCATAATTTTAATGATTACATGGAATGTGGATGTATTATTTAACTATCAATTTACCTGATATGGAAACAAATAATCCCTTTATATTATCCCAAACAAGAAAGTTTAAACTTACTGGTGTATGATCACTCCACTCCCAGGATCCCTGTAAATCTGGGCTCCTTTTATTCAAACCTATCCACAGCCAACGCTCGTCACTATGTAAAAAGAAATTATTAAAAAAAAATTTGAGCACAGGTTTGGCAAAAATATTTAGCATTCACATGTCTAGAATGCTTAAGATATAAGTTTGTCTTGTCACTAACTGAAAAGTACAATTTTAAGCTCTATAAAGATGCCTTCTAAAATAAAACCAAACTCTAAATATGAGGAAGCTATGGAAAAAATACCATGTTTCTTAAAACTAAGTCTTCAGTTATGTTCTTCATATGAAAGGTAAAACGTTCTACTTTGCACTTGAGGGGAAATAAAGGGCATGATTATTCCAAAACTTTTACTGGAGAGCTTCACTATTAGACAATGTTTTTGATACAAAGATAGCAATGACATTTTCTTAAAGTGTTTATAACACAAATATCTTTTTTTAAAAATGCAGGACAAATCATCCGGCTAAATTTTTATTAAACAGGATCAAAATTTTAAAAAAGTATTTAATTCCCACTGACCATTAAGGAACTAGAGGGTATTATGCTGAGTAAAATAAGTCGATCAAAGACGAACAATCAACCATGTGATTTCACACATACATGGAATATAAGAAATAGTGAAAAAGACTATAAGGGAAAGGAGGGGAACTGAGTGGGAAAAATTAAAGAGAGAGATAAACCATGAGAGTCTCCTAACTCTGGGAAACAAAGGGTTGGGGGGTGGGGGGTAGGATGAGGGCAATGAGGAGGGCACTTGCTGGGATGAACAATGGGTGTTATACTATATGTTGACAAATTGAAATTAAGTTTAAAAAATCTAAAAAAGAGAAAGAAAAAAGAATATGCTCTAAAAAAAGTTTAAAGTAAACAAGTATTTTTTTTTAAAGATTTTATTTTTAAGTAATCTCTACACCCAATGTGGGGCTCAAATTCACAACCCTGAGATCAAAAGTTACATACTTTACCATCTAAGCCAGCCAGGCGCCCCACCCCCTTTTTCCTAAAGATTAAGTATAAGTATCTTCTAAAAGCCAAACTCCATGGGTTATATGAGAACAACATAATTAGTCATTTAAGTAATTATATTTAACATTCATAACTATTGTACTTCTATGCACAAGGCATTGAGCTAGATGCCATGGTAATACAGAGAAGTACAAGACGTATTACCTATCCTCAAATGGCATATAAACTAGTCAGGGCAACAAGATATACATGAACAAAGAAAATAACCATTTTGGAAAGATATCAAGTGATATAAAATTTGTATAAATTTTGAGCATTACAAAAATTCAAGGAAAGAAGTTTATTGTGGACTGTAGGAAGTCAGGAAATGTTTTGTGAGGTTAGTAGGACAAAAGAGTCTTTCAAAGATGGCTAATATTTCTTTTGAGTCATAATCTGAGTGTTTAACATGTGTCAATATTCAGATTGATCGAGAAGAGAAGGATAGACATTCCAAGAAAGGATATATACAATAACATATAGAAGCAGGGACATATATTATAAATATCCCTTTTCCTCAATTAAATTTATTCTTTAGCTAGGAGATATTGCTAATATAAATAGAAGTGCTATAACCATAAAAACATTTTCTTCATCTCTAACTCCACTTGAAAATTTTCTCTAAAGTGTGTTACACTCTTTAGGCTTCTTTTATTTTAAAGATTTTATTTATTTATTTATTCATGAGAGACACAAAGAGAGAGAGAGTCAGAGACATAGGCGGAGGGAGAAGCAGGCTCCCTGCAGGGAGCCCAATGTGGGACTCGATCCCAGGACCCCGGGATCACACCCTGAGCCAAAGGCAGATGCTCAACCACTGAGCCACCCAGGTGCCCCCTTTTTAGGCTTTTTAAATAGATACTTTTTAAGTAGACTATTATCCATGTAACCTTTTTTTTTTTGATAATACTGATTAATTATAAGTTAACCTTCTGATTGCATGTAGTATGTATGATCAGTACATATGAGTGTATATTACATAGGCATAACTAGATATATAGATATATATTTTTTATATGCCTATAAACATAGCACATAGTAGAAAAGGGATAGGACCCAAATTTAAAATTAATTCTTACTCTTAAACTCAAGAGAATGTATGGAATATCTGTAATGTATAGCTGAAAAATATAAATCTGTATTTCAAAAAATTTGCCAGTGACTCAAAGCTAGAGCTTAATTTTAAAGTAATTTCTTATGTTTTAATAAAATAATTGCTTTTGTTCACCACTTTCCTCTACTGAACATTCCCCCATACTTTAATATAAATACTTTTCATCTTTTCAGTTTTAAGCTTTTCAACTAATTGCAATGGAATATGAGGATAATCCCCTTTCAGTCTTTGTTATATTATTTTCTTTTTTTTAGAGAAAGATTACCAATTTGTAAATTTCAGATAATCCAGTGGAGGCAATTAAATCCAGTTTGAATTTAGCAGCTAGAAGAGGAATTTGCAGTGTGTCTTCAACTATTCAGAGCTTTCTAACAGGCTTCCAAAATTTATTACACTTCCCAACTGCTGAATTTCTAAAGCACAAGTCTAGGTAATTGCCATATACAGTATAATTAAAGTCAGATGGGTAAAATCCAGAGGAGGTTAAATTTGCTTCCTCGTTACGTACTTGGATGTGACTTGATTTCTTTCAAATATCTTCACAAATTTAATTGAGCCTAAGGAATTTGTGCACATTTTTGTGTTTCCCTAAAGTAAGGCTTAGATAGTCTATCTTCTTTTTACAATCAACAGTACAACCAGGAATACGGTCAAAGGTCATATGTCACCTCCATTTACTCTATAGTAGCTCCCACTGAAAGCCTCTTTAGAGATCTGTCTCTAACCTTTCCACACAGTCCTCGTTTAGATCCACCTCTGCCCATTAGAAACCTCTGCTGTCGAGCTCATTTCTTCTGCCTCCTTGGTGGCATGTCTAAAAAATAGTTTCCTAGAAAACACAATTTGCCCCATTGTCCAAAATTTTTAGTTTTCACTACTTTCTGAGATTGAACCTCATTTCAACCCAGACATTTATAGCTTTTCGCTTCCAATTCAAAATTCATTAGTGTGTTATATAGAAAATAGTAGCTACTTGTGTTTTTTTCTGTGTGTGGTAGGAGGCGGAAAATATTTCCTCAGTTGTAACTTATTCCTGGTTTGACCTGGTTTATCCACAGGCAGATAAAGAAGAAATTGAAAATCACTCTAATCATTGCACACCTCTAATGTGGATTTAGAAAATTTGAGGGAAAAAATGGATCATAACTGGAGAATTAAATCAAATGAAAAATTTCTCTCTAAATAAATTTTTCTACTACAAGCACTAAGTATATGGTTTTAGGGTATTAGGTTAAGAAGACATTGCATGAAAGGTTAATATGTGTATCTGTGTTAAAATTCCTCCTCTCAATCAAATTTCCTGCTGCATCTGGTTTCTAAGGAAAACAGTATCTCAGCTACAAACCCCAATAAATACTATTTGATGAGGGTGCTTAGTCTGCAAAGCCTTAGATTTATATCGAAATCCATTCATGCTACATCACAGGAGGTAGTACACACAGCAGCAACAGCATTGCAAACAAGGCTTTCTCCTTTAATCCTAAAACTATTTTTGTTCTACAATGGCTTTCCCTGGTGGGCTGCCATTAAGAGTTGCAAAGATCTTAGAGCCGTAATGACTTTGTGCACCATGAATCCTTTCATTGAAATACAAATAGAGATGGGGAACTTAGATTGTGAGAAGTATAGCAGTAATCTGATTTAACTACTTGGCGTGCAATACACAATTTGGGCAATGGACATCTGAGAAAGGTCAATTCCTGCAATAAAAAGGTAAGTAAAGCCTTCAAGCTTTACAATCATTTTCTGATGTAAATGGGTTTTGCCTCCTTCCTCCCTTTCAAGCCATGGTTATGATACTGGTTTTAGGCATACATTGTCTTTCTAAGTATGGTGTGGGCAAACGATCTCTTGATTAAAGGAGACAACATAGTCTGTATCACCTGCTGGGTTAAGAGTACAAATGAAATATGGCTCCTATGAATGAAAGGATTAGGGTGATTTGTTTTTTCCTTTGTGCTTTTCTACTTTTTAAATTAAATATATATTACCTTTGTGATCAGGAAAAAAAACATTGTTGTACATTCTCTGGAAAATAAACTATATACACGGAATGGAAGAAAATGGGAAAGGTTTACATTAAGCACTAACTATGTTTATAACAGATACAGGATTGGAGGTGATTTTAATTTTATTTTTTTATTTTTTTAAAGATTTTATTTATTTATTCAGGAGAGACATAGAGAGGCAGAGAGACACAGGCAGAGGGAGAAGCAGGCTCCATGCAGGAAGCCCGATGCGGGACTCGATCCTGGGACTCTGGGATCACGCCCTGAGCCAAAGGCAGATGCTCAACCACTGAGCCACCCAGGCATCCCGACTTTTATTTTTTCCATTAACACTCTTTATATTCCCCAAATCTTACATAATGAACTTGTGTTAATTTTTTAATTGAAAGGAAACTCAGCAAGTGTGATCAGAAACAAGGAAACAAATCAAGAAAAATTCCTTAATTACCTCTCACACTTCAGTTTTATTTTGTAGTGTAATCTATTCTGTATATGGAAGCTCTTAATGATCATTTATATCACTTATGATATTCCATTTTCCATCATTTGATTCCTACAAATATCTACAAACTCATTGCTTAGTACTTATCAATGCCTCCCTGTTCAGAATAAAGGTTTCTAACCTCTTGCTTGGTTAGAAAATCCACTTTGTTTATGTCAGTATTTTACTTAAAAATACTTTGGTCTAGACAGTATGATATTGTGTATGTCAAACTTGAGAGCTAAGCACCAGTAAGTTGTCCTGCTCAAAATTCTCACTTCAAGGAGGATCAGCAGAGTATTAGAGTATGTTCCAAAGGCAGCCACCACAAAGATGTCTGTTATTCGAAGCCATACCTGAGGTTTTGGTTATTAGCAGAGTGAATTTCAGAAATAGGTGTTTATCAGCAAAATTAGAAGCCTGTTAATAAGCATGATATTAG